AACAGAGTGAGGGAGGGCCGGGAAGGGGGGTCCGGAATCAAGACACGGGGGAAGCCAGGACCAGGAGGTCCCCCTCTGACTCAGGCCCTGCTGGCTCAAGCCTGCCCAGGGTTTGAGGAGGCTGTGGAGGGAGTGCGCTTCATCGCAAACCACATGAAGGGCGAGGATGACGATCAGAGTGTGAGTATTCATTATCTATTTTAATCTATAAACGGCATTACGTTTTAGTCGGAGCCTGACCAACACTGGACTTTTAAATTTGATACACATTTTTCATTTTACAGAAACTTTGGCTAAAGATGCAGTTCTTTAGATACGGTTTAACAAATGACTTTACAATAATTAAAAGATTATTTTAAAGAACAGCTTTAATTACTATGTATATAACAACATCATCCCCTGACTCTAGCCCTGTTACTATAGCGCACTGATCTGATCTTATTGGCTGCAACTTCAATGTTATGTTTCACTATTGCATTTCTGAAGCATAGCAAAAACCTAACACAGCACACTACGTGCTGAGCGCCAAACAAAAGAATTTGATACTTTTGGTTTGAAAGAAACTGGAACACATTTAGTCCTAGGTAAACATTTTGGACCTACACTTTCAGGTAGCCAGAGAGACCAATTTTAACTGTTCCATGGCTGCTAGATGTGTGAATAGGCTTCTACTGACTAGAACATTCACAATATCAGCTTTACTCCACACAGATGCATACTGATTTTTTTCACTTTACGTGATTTAAGATGTCTAGGTATGAATAAAAGCACATACAATTAATTATATTTTTTGACCTTATTTTACATAAAACTATAAAGACAAGGTTACATTTCCAGGCAGGTGATGCTGCTGATAAATCCTCTGTGCTGCTGCAGATTACTCGTCTGCAATTTCCTGCCAACAACACAAATACATCTGTGATAAACAGATGTCACCTTAAAATACCCCCATGCTCATGTTCTGCTCAGGCTTTTCGCCATATCATAATGAAATATTATCTTGTTGCTGTGTGTATACAACCTTAATATAAACCATCGTATGTTGTGTGCATATGTTTTCTACCATGAAGCGCATCATGAGCAGCGCGGGTCTGTCCGCTCGGTGTCATATCATGTTAAAGTGAGGACCGAGCCTAACAGCAGAGCAGTTTACATCTGCTGTTTCAAACACATGGGGGGACTACAGCAGAGCATAAGCAAAGGAGACGGATCTGGTGATGCAATCATAGTCCTCTGAATATTCAACGCAGACATATAATTATAGCAGCCGAATGACGCGAGCATAGAGAACGAGCACAACTGGAACAGAGGCGCGGAGACAGAGTGAGGGTGGCATCTTTTATCGCTTTCCCTCAAGGCATCTTAGGAGATCGGCCTTCTCTCCTGGACTCAAAGAAACTGACACGGGAATTAACAATCCGCTATAATTCTGTCTATCATAGACATAGTAACCATCCCGTTGTCATGACGACTGCTTTATAATCCTCCCTCTTCTGTCTGAGTGCATGCCTCGTCAGATCCTCCTCCTCTCTGCTTCCCCAAGTTATCACGGCAGGGTTACAGTGTCAGCACATCCTCCGTCTCTCGGCCCTCCATCACTCATGCTCGTCCCTCACTTCCTTCTGCTCCTCTGTGACTCAAGTGTGACCTCATCAGAGCTGTGCGACGGACAAGTCTCCACTCACATTAACCCTTCACCTCTATTAACCCCCCGCATAGGGAGAGGCAAAGATAGAGAGAGAGAGAGAGAGAATCAGAGAGTGTTTGATTCTGCTCACCTTAATCTTTCTGTTCCCTTTGTCCCTCCCCGTCTACAGGTGAGCGAGGACTGGAAGTACGTTGCCATGGTGATCGACCGCCTCTTCCTGTGGATCTTTGTGTTTGTGTGCGTGTTTGGCACACTGGGCATGTTCATGCAGCCACTCTTCCAGAATTACACAGTCAAGACCATCACCAGTTCGCCAGGCTGACCACTCCCGGGCCCTGAGCACGCTGACGGACAGCTCCCCCGACCAATCAGCACAACAGGACATGAGCCGGCGATGGTTGTGGGGGTTGGTCCGGATTTTATTGTGTCTATTTGGACTGGAACCAGAACTGGATCTGAACAGTAATCAAGCCCATTACCTTTATAGGACTGATTTTTGCAACTAACAACCGTTTTTCTTGTATGAAGACAAAGGAAAACATTATCATAGACTCTAACCTCCAGATGTTTCATGGACTGACCTCCCTTCTCTGGTGGAAAGGTCCCTCCGTCCCTGCTTTCCTCCTCAGTTTATCAGGGAGCAAGGGTGCTCTGATTAACTTCTTGTTAAACCTCACGTCGGCCCCTTTTTCTCGCTCGACGCTGACTGCTTGATAGAGACTTGACAACTGCGACTTTACGTGTTCATGATATTGACTGATGTCACGATGAGCCAATCAGAAAGAGCAGGGAGGTTCAGATCAAGGTTGTGATATATTGATTTTATTTTTCCAGGAATTCACTGTCAGTGAACTGATTCAGTATATTTTATCATAGCATAGCCGCTTACCACAGTATAGCATTAGGAATATATTATTAAGATTTCTCTATGTTAGCTCATGCAAGGGTCTGTCACTGATAGAGAGGCTATGGTGTGTTGTATGATTGTATAGTTAAAAAAAAAGAATGTGATACAAACTGTGTACACAGCCTGTGATGCGCACACTATCACATTGTGTACATGCAACTGACGGCGTTGGAAAACACATGCAGGAGAGTTGGATTGAAGAGTGAGGTAACGATATTAGATGAAAGCCATGGGGAAGAAGTCATAGATTATGCATGGACAGTTTTTTGCTCAGAGAGATGTGAACATTAAGTAGAGAGCAGCAGAACCAGTGCTGGAGTACTCAGTGCTGCAGACAGATGAGCTTAGCTCCAGAGAAACTGAGGAATCTGAGCCAAGATGGCGGATAGGACCTCCTATATCCCCGACAAACACGGATATAGGAGTATTTAGAGATCAGATGGTTCAAAGATCAGTATTGGAACATGTAAATCAAATTATTTTGATGGAAAGATGGGAATTTTATTATGAAATTTAAGCTATTATGTGTATTAAGTGTAATTTTCATATTTCAGTATGTAATGTTCAGAGCGTATGTATACAAGAGTGTGTGTTTGTGTGTGGGTGTGTGTGTGTGTTATGCGTGCCCCATGCCCTGATGCATTATCAAATCTGTCAGTTCAGAACAGCATACTGTATGTGCATCTCCTTCCTCCTTTCTGTCTGCAGTCCTCTGCCCTTTATCTGGTCTTCCATGGACAAACACATATCTGACATATAGTCCAATTAGAATAACAACTCCCCACATTCTCTGCACACATATTCATTATGGCAGTTCTCCTTTTTTCATCGCCGACTGGATGATTTTCTCTCATTTCTACATTTCCCAGGGACAACCAAGCTAGAGGCAGAAGGTACTTTTCAGGCACACGGGGAGGAGAGAGGTGAATTAAATTTTCAATGAACAAGAGAGAGAAATGACAAGAGCGCCGATGCTGAAGCAGGCGAATCAGGCGACGAGGCACAGATGCAGAATCATAGGCCGGAAACACAAGGCAAAAAATGGCCAGGATATGGTTTCAATGTTTTTGATTTTATGTTGATGTAGCAGCTGTGGAGCAATGGACTGAAAATATGATAATCTGATAACAGCAAGAAAATACATCAGTAAGGAAGGAATGCAGCAGGATAAGGTAGAGACAAAAAGACTGTTCAAATTGTTATTGCATATAAAAGCCACCATAAAACTCTGAAAATGCTCTCCAATCTTCAGTCACTGTCACTACGTTCCCCCAGCTTTTTACAGTAGTGGCTGCAGCTCAGCTAAGTGTTGGACTTGGTCTCTCTCTCTGTCTGTCTCTGGAGGAAGGGATTTTCCAGAGGGGGAATCCCCAACAGATCCTGAAACAAGTGCAAAAAGCCTCTCAGAGACCTGTGAAAAACTGAAGGCTGCACGACTCCACAAAAATAGTGCTGCTGTCAACTATTTTTTCCCTCTCCTTTTGACCTTTCCACTCTCCTTCCTTTCCTCTTACGTCCTCTCTCATAATCCACCCCCCTCTCTCGCCCATCCCTCACCTTCTCCTTCCTGACTCTCAAATCTGCTCCTGTGCACACACACCTTAACCAGTCCAATAAAGGTTGTAGGTTCAGGTTAACCAACATGTGTGTCTGTGTGGCATGTTATTCTTTCTCTGTATGGTCTGTTATCACACAAACTTCCCATTAATCTTACACCACAGGATAGAAGGAAAGAAAGAAATGTTTCCTGGCTTTCTATTATTGAGGCTGGTGACTTCCTTTTTATATATGCATACACGCACGCAAACTCATACCTACATAATGGCACAATTTGTTTCTTCTTTAAACAATCGTGTGTTTGGCCCATCCAAGGTCAGTTCAAGTTATCATTATACTGTTATATAAACAGGAACGCTGGGTGCAGTTTGAACCGTCGTGAAATACAATTTATTTTTGAGATGTGGATGTAAGCTTGAACCACATCAAAAGTAAGAATTACTCTTATGATAATCAGCTGCAAACACTATAATGGTTATTTTATCAGTGGAAAAAAAAAAGAAAAACCAGCCAATTCAAAGGAAGTCAAATGGAAATGCAAAAAGAAAACGTCCAGTTTGAGGTCATTGCTGCCACCTGGTGCCCATTTTGTGTTATTACTCCTCTGCTAGAATAAAAGTACAACCCACTTTGTATTGTTCACAAGTTCACATTTATTCTTTCCAGGGAGACATTCCTTTTGCTTTGATGAGTTACAAAACACATGACAAGAAAAAGAAAGAGATATGTTAACATATACAACAATGACAGGTGCTGAGACTGACTTGAAGATTTTTTTCACATAGCAATGAATACTGCTTGTATTGGATTGAACATTGCAAACAAATAGACAAACAGCCAACATTTTCTGCTGACTATAGGACATGTGTGTGTTTGTGCACATGTATTCCATGACAGGGGCTCCTCTTTATCTGTGTAGCATCTCTCCTGTTTCAGCTGCTTCCTCCCTGAAGCGTGTGTTCGCAGAGTGGATGCCTTTGTTGGAAAGGCTGTGTTCACTTCTTCTCTGGCTTGTCATTGTACTCCAGGAAGAAGTCGTTACAGGCCACAGTCAGAGCTCCAACCAGTATGATGAACTCTGTGAAATCTACCTCGCCGTCGTTGTTGGAATCCAGGTCTCCCATGACCTTATCAACGGCCTCTCTATCCTGGGCGTTCTGCACGTGTGAGGCAAATAAAACAGAAATGACCTCTGATACTTTACACGTCTGAATCATGCATTTGTTGCTAAGTTTTACTCTCTTACCCCAAGGTAGTTGCCAAGCTCTGCGGTAAGCATCTCTTTGAGCTCAGCCCTGCTTAGTGTGTATTTATCGCCCTCGTTTCCAGAGTACTTGTGGAAGGTCTGGATCATGAGCTGCATGGCATTCTCCAGGGTGGAGGCGTTCTCTGAGTTGGGCATAGACATTCTGGAGAAGGAAAGAAGACGAGGAAGAAAGGGTGGTGGGAGGAGGAGGAGGAGGAGTAGAATGTCAGTACTGGGCCTGCAAAAATCTGCTGTCTTGAGCGTCAGGTTGAAACCTCTTTTGGTTGCTTTCTTGGAACCTGTATCAAGAGTTGCTGACAGAAAGATAGAGTGATGCATTGGCAAGCGCACAAAGAAAACTGACAGCTACAAACGTATTTACAATGCTGTGTCTCAGCATATCTATCAAGATCTAGGTATTTGGCAGATTGGAAACCCTGCAACCCTGCTCAAACTGTATCCTCATCAGGAGCGTTTCCTCCCTGCCAGCGGTCCTGATAAGATTGTGTCACAGATAAACTGATCATCTATCTGTTTGTCGCTCTGCCCAAGCGAGAGGACCTCTGGGAGTCGGGCCAGTCAGCAGGACATGTGAGCCAGCTGATAAGAGTGAAACTCTAAGCTGGTAAAACAGCCGAGGCAGCAGAGGAGGAGATGGAGGAGAAAGAGATGGACCAGCGCACACAGAGGCAACCTGATCCTGCTTTTACTTCAGCTCGAACCGGATGGCGAACAGACAGAGACCAGTGTAGGTCCCTGCCTTTTTTGTGAACCTACATCACCTCTGAACTGTGAGGACTTTTCTAGCTGTCAAACACATCTTACATCTCATGACCACGATGTTCTCATGAATCAGTAGGTTTAAAAATATCACAAAGATTTTTTTTTTTGGCAAACAATGTTTAACAGAAATGATAGCTTCTTAACTTGTCAGTGCATAAACAGAAAGTTCTTGCTGTGTATGCTGTCGATTTGTACAACAGAAAGACTTCTAACAAGCAGATTATTTACATTCAACACTGTGCAGTAGCTTAATCCTTAAGGGCATGCTTCAAAAAGTAACAAAAAAAAAAAAGTCTGCAGAGCAAGAGCTTTCAGTGCTGAAGCCTGTCCTGTTCGTCATTTCTTACCTGAGTGGAGGATGAGTGCTGGCCTTCTAGTCAGGTGCAGAGAGGAAAGGCAAGAGTGACCGATGTGGATGATGAAGAGGACAACGTCTTAAATACACCCCTCACTCCACCCATCCCACCTAACCCTTCCTCCTCCGTCCCTCATTCCACCTGTTGCTCATCCCCTCTCCTTCTTCCCAACCCCCAACCCCCCTCCTCTCCTCGTTCTCTGTTTGTGCATAAGACACCTGCTGTCTGAAGAATAGCCACACAGACGATGCACCTGCCCCCTCACCCCACTCGCTGTCATATTGACAAATAACCCAAATGGTAATGGAACTGTAACTACAGCGAGACATTAAATAAATTGAAGTACCACTAATTTGACCACAAGCACCACAAATATCCCTTGTAACGTGAAATGTACTTCTCAGATGTCGGTCTGCATGGAAGTTAAGTAACTCAGTAGATTCTGAATGTGAACAGTGTATTTGACAGACATGCACCTGTGCAAAATTCATAGTTTGATGAGTTTAACACCTTAGACTGAGCACACAATGTCAGTAACTATGATGCACTTGCTTTTGCTACACTGGATTATTCTTTTACCATTTTGTGCAACAATTTTGCCTGATCAAATGGCTTAGAGGGGGAGGGCTAAAATAATTTTGCCAAGACAAAAAGGAATAACTTGATATGCTTCAAATGTGTATCGGTTTTAAGCAGCAACAAGTGTCGGGTTGTGTGTTGTGTGTGTTTTTTTTCGGGAGGATGGCTGTGAGTGTTATACTACCTGAAGGATTAGAATAGAAACAATGAATGGAGCTCTCACACCTGGCAGCCATACAGAATCCCACACACAAAGACTTTGCAAAAAACATATGAAGGCAGACACGCTGATGCAATGAAACACGTACATTTTCACCCAACATTCAGAAACACTACTTGCGTGCACAAAATATATGAAAAGAATCACCTGTAGGATAAAAAATAAAAAATAGGAAATTGCTTTTTTTCTCATTGCTTGGTCCCTTTTGACAGATAAGGGATAACAAAGGGAGTCGTATTAGTTTACTTTAAACTTGATACAAAATAAGAGAAAACAGAGCTTGGTTTTGTAAACCCTTGATCTCCAATATGTTCATTTTTATTGCAGAGAATCACACGAGAATGCAGTTACACACTGATTTTTTGCAATCATTTAACATTGTTTTAATTCTATGATCATATTTACAAAATAAATGGCTTCTATTTTTTATATTCTCACAAGGCTAAAGGATAGTATCATCACAGGTTCACCCAGATTGCAAACATTGCTTCAAGCTCAACTTGCTTTAGCTGTCGAAGATAAATTCCTTAAAGCTCCTGCAAGGAATATTCGATTTGTGTCTATTGAAGCGAACCCTGTGGACATAGAGGGACCATTCATCTTTTTACTGTGTTTGTCATATGTACGTGCAAGGCATCTTTTCTTTGAACCAAAACTTTCATCTTGCTTATTTTCAACAGTCATATGTGTCACTCATTGAGAGCAGCAGTATGTGTGACATCTACCCTGCAGCAGCGATTTTAGGCATTCAAAAATATTTGATAGAAGCTGTCAGTCTTTATGCCGATGGTCTCATTAGCTTTTGTAGGTCATACAGAGGATTCTAGATTCATGTCAGCCTGTTTCATTACGAGCTAAAAACTCCTCCTTTTCCTTTTTTTGATGGAAACACATTGATGATGTTTTTTTCACAAAAGAGGATTTTCAAGGGTTAAATAATTTAATTCATGCATTCCCCAGACTAAAAGCAGTATAATGAAAACTGTAAAATTAATTCAAGCGTAATAGGATCATGCTAAATAAAGCAAACAACATGCGAAACACCACCAATCATCATGAAATACATGAATGAGCTGCCATTCTGTAAGTGCATCTCCATGTTTCTGTGTTGTTGCTGTTGCGTCAGTGAGCAGGGCAGCACAGTGTGTGTGTGTGTGTGTGTGCGCGTTTGTGTGTATAGTGTTGCAGAGTGGAGGACGGTGCACAATAGGAAGTGTATACTGTGTGTCAGGATCTGGTTGCAATTGTTGATGCATATAAAGGCAGCTGAGTTTGAATAGTCAGGGATGTCACAGCTATATTTAGACCAGTTTTTCTGCTAGCTATAGAATGAGCAGGTATTATTTGAGTGATGACTGTGGGAGCATGTCAAACCATGTCAGGGAAACCACTGTACTCATACAGTATTTAGTTCAAGCTGAAAAGAAAAACATGAACTCATAACAGAAAACACAACCGTTTATTTTCTTTTAATATAAAGCCTTTATTTCAAAATGCAGAATGCATCTTCTGCAAAATGAGATGAAAAACACTCAGCTCCGATTCCTTCAACGAGTACTTAAAAGTGGAGATCAACATGATGTGACCAAAAAGCTGGATACACAAGGTGAAAATCAGAGCATTATACATCTGACAAATGATTATGGACTGTTGTTGAAAATGAATATATGACTTAAGGAACACTTGGAAAGGTACTTTAAAAGCGCATAAAAGAGGCTGTTAATCTGCTGAGCCATTGAATACTGCATGTTCACAAACATCTAGGAAGTGTCTTGATTGCCTTCAGTCTTCCTCTGACTCATGTTGTTGGCCAGGTAGCCGATCAAAGTGAGGTATTCCTGGAAGCTGACCTTTCCATCGTTGTTCTCATCTAGCCCTTGCTGCATCTCCTTAACGGCTGAGGACGAGTTTGTGTCCTGAACACAAGAGAAGAAGTAGAACAAGATGGGATCTATTGTAAATACCAATCATTTAGATTGTAATGAAAGAAAAACACCAAATTGTTTGTTGTTTGGAAAATATTTGGAAAGCAAACAATGATGAGGAATAGCAAAAAAATAGGTTCCCTATACCTCCATGAGGCCGCCAAGCTGATTCTTCACCAGTTTCTGGAAGGAAGACCCGCTCAGGTTCTCGCCCCCCTTGGAAGAACCAAGAAATGTGGTGATGATTGTCTTGATGGCTGACTCCATATCTTCAAGGAGAGGGACAAGAAACAAAGGGACAAAAAAGAGAAGTGAGTTTGGAAGTGATATGAGGAGATCTTTTAAAACAGCAGAAATCTACCTGTTGAGTACAGTAACCATCTGTTTAACATGACATTTACATTTGACTGGTTCTTGTGTGGATTCAGGTTTATTTCACATTCTAACACATGATTGAAGACGAGAGATCATCATTACCCTTAAAATGCTAAAACTCATGTCGCTAACTAATCCAGATTAACACTGTAATTCTAATGTATGGATTTGAATCAAGTTATGTGGAGATTTTGTTACTGTATTAGGACTGTATAGAAACATCTTTTTAGTATTGTGTGAGACCAAACTAAGCCACATGTTGTCACAGTTGTGCTAAGCAACGATTACTTGAGGCCCTAAACTCCACTGAAGAAATTTGGTTAGGGTCGTTCTTAGCAAAGCAGTACCTTTCAACTTTTTGCTGATATTATCTCGTGAATGTAACATTTTTTTTTTATTTTAATTTACATTTTTGCTGGCAAAATGTAAAAAATGTCTGCGGCTTGCAGTCAGTCACTTTGTCTGACACCTACCCTGCAGCAGGAGTTTCAGGCACAAAAAAATGACATAGTCTATCTTTATACTGCTAGAATAATTTTCTTTTGTATGTCATAGAGAGGCATCAGGATTTTATTTTCATCCCTAACCCTTCTGAAAACTCCTCACAGTAGCTTTAAATATGCAGATAACCCATAGTCTTTGTTAACATCATGTTTAAAAAGTGTATTTGAAGCACATGTTATGATTTGTCCCCTGAACATAAACATGAGTGAAAGGTGGGCGCTCTGAGAGATAAATAGAGTGAGTGAAAGAAAGCAAGAGAGAGAGAGAGAGAGAGAGAGAGAGAGAGAGAGAGAGGGAGAGAGCGAGGGAGAGATGGAAGGTTTTAGAGCAGGGAAGTCTCTAAGGTAAACACAATGGGAGCTGTGATCTCTGACGGTGGACATTTGATCTCCAGAAGCCAGCAGGAGGCCACAGGTTCAGATTACACCCTGCTGTCCGTCTGCTGCTGCACGCCTCCCCTCACACTTAATGAAAACACTGCAAATTGGGCTCAAGTGTGCTGTAAAATAACTGTTTTACAGCAATGAAGGAGTAGACTAGCCTGAAACTTCGCATGCATTTTTTTGGGGACAGATTCTTGAAGTCATGTGAAGTTAAATCCCCAGTTGATTAAAAAACACAGCTGTGACAGCTGTGTGACCATTGCATAAAACACACCATTTCTAGATAGATTATGATTTTATTGAACTCACTGGCAGAGTGATATCAAGTCAGTACACTAACTGCTTATCCACTTAGTTTTAGGCTGAACACTCATAATCTTTCCACCGACACCAAATGTCACAGTAGAAAAAGCAAAGGTGTAAATAATAAAATGAATGATGGCTGCAATCCATTTCACTGCTCCGGTGAGTCAGTCACTGTCACACCGTCATGACTTACTGGGACACTTGAATAGAAGGAAGCCATTGTTAATATAACACCTGTGCTGAGCCAAGGAACAACAAACAAGTCAAGATGCCTGCAGAGACAATGGCCTTTTGTTGCAACAAGAGAGCCCCTGATAAAATATCACCTTATATAAAACGTGGGCTGCATGAGCGCTCCAAGAAGATGTTAAAAAAAGAAAAGGGAAGTTTGTAAGACAGCAACATTCCTAACTCACAATCTGTGTCCAAATGCCTTTATAATCATAAACAGGCTGTGCCTTTAGCAGGGTCTGACTTTGGGACAGACTGAATTATTACCACATTACTCAGCATGGATACTATGAAAAAGTGAATTGAAGTGGGCTGTTTATGTATCCCACAATGCAATGCACAAATGAAACAGTTTCTAACAGCTGCAAACCATTAAAACTAATTAAGAAACGGCCTCAGAGAACACCATAACAAACAAAGACATTTTAATGTCTAATTGTGATGTTTGGATGACTTAAAGAATGAATTTGTATCACACAGCTATAGCAGGATTTCCATTCATCACTACATGTGTCACATCATCTCCTGAACCCGGTTATTCAAAAGGAGTATTTGTTTGTTTTTTTGTCCCTGTCAGATGATCCAGTTTAAATGTGTTGTTTTTTTTCAAAGAAAAACTGGATAGGATCATCTAGACTTTAAAAATTTACCCAATCCAGATTACCAGTGCTCTAAACGGGGACTACTTACGACAAACTTTTTCAACAGGGGGCGCTAAAATCCACACTAAATGAAAGATCCTCACAGCTGCTTCTAAATGAGGATTGTTTAAACTTTGACATCAACAGTCATTTATTGAAAGAAAGTGCCAATATTTCCTTCCACAAACATACAGTCTGTCTTATCCACTATGTTACGGTAGAAATTTAGAAATTCAGCAAGGGCAAGATATGAAAAAGAATCGTGAAAAAAATGTTTTGTTTGACCTACTTGAAGATATAATTACAGTTTGTTCCTTTGCCCTCCACTATGATCAGGAGAATCATGATATTTTAGATCAACTTTTACCCAATCCTACTCAAAAGTTTTCAATAACTCAAATTTAAGATTTCATTAAGATTGAAACCAACATCAAATTACCTAGTCTCTTCTGATTGTACGTCCTTTCTTTGTTCTGATCAACTCATTTACAATATTAATTTCAATAAGATAGCTTCAATCCGATCAGATCACTTATAAAGAACTGGGCGCTTACAGAACAAAAACTGTTGATTTCTTGTTCAATAACTACGAAAACACTCCTCATGAGTTTGCCCTGTGTATTTAGGCTATGTAATACATTTGAAAAAGAGTTGTTGATTTTGTGTTTTTGTTCACAAAGTTCACAGTTATGAAAATGACAGTGAAGTAAACACTGTTTTTTTTTGTCACAACAATTCTTCTGGCTATAAACAGCATTAGGGCGTGATGTTAGTGACTGTTCAACCTCATGTATCAGACCATAACTCGACAGGGGAGTAAGATCTCTTTAGTCTTTGCTCCCATTTAGCCTTCTGTTGTCTCAACAAACAAGATTTCAGAGGCTACGTGTCAGGGTAAACAACATACATGAACAAATGGTGTGGATACTTGAGTAGAGAAGATACTTGTTGTGGTGTTGGCTACACGATTGACGGAGTGTATTGGAAACTACCAGGAGGCAAAGCTAAAGCCACAAGAAGGCTAATGGTGATTACTGCCTGTGGACACATTGTTGAAGAAACAGTAGAAGCCTGTAAATCTACCATCTGACACAGATGTCACACCGAAATGCTCACACTATACATACACAAGTAGATAGCTAGAAAGACACACACACACACACACACACACACACACACACACACACACACACACACACACCCACCCTGAAAACAACAACACCAATTAGGACTTGTGTTGCATTAACCTAATTACTGGGTGACAGAGAGCAGGCAACCAAACCCCGTATTCTGTTTCATGTCTACCTTCCATGCCAGCACCCACACACATGCACACACACAGTGGTGAACACCCATACAAGTGAGCCTCTGTCATCAGCATGCTGTCCATTATTATTTCATAGGTTACTATAATTGTCCCAACACCTTCCAAATACCCTCGACAAGCATGGACAGCAGTGAAGGAGAAAGCCAAATGCTTGAGTGTTGTTTATATCAGTTTCGGTTGTGTATTAAAATGTATGACAGGCCTCCATCTGTGAGCGTGTGAATGAAACCATCAGGCTTGGGTTAGAAGACGTCAGATTGGTAGAAAGGAACATGAAGTCAGGTTTGCCTCATGGTGTATGTGTTGAATACACATGAAGCATATTCTGATTCACTGCATGGAGATGGTGGTTATAATGACTCAAGGTTAATGCATGCTGGTGAGAGGCCCACTGCATGGTCTAACGTTGCTCAGTTAGAATGACTCAGGCAATCTGGATGGGTTAGATCTGGTACCTCTAACCCACTACTTAATGAGCCCTTTCTTGTCACTGTTGTTTAATTTTTGGGATTAAAACTGTTTGTTATGTCGTTTCTTTAACCCGTTTCCTGAGACTTCTCATGATGCACTTGTGGCCAGATTTCCCTTTGCAACGAAGGTCTTCAACCTCAACAATGTTAAAAAAAACCCTTCTTTAATTGCTAGTGCACCCAATGTGGGGGCAAAAAGGGAAACCTTACTTGAGTCTAGATCATTTTTTCCTCAATTTCCATGGATTTCCCACATTGGTCAGCAATGCAGAATGTGAAGCAGAATCTAACCCACTGACCCACTTAATACTCCTTTTTGCTTTTCATGGTTTGTCCATTTATAGCTGATGATTGTGCTCTTATTGGCCCCAACACCTAAATGGCTCAAAAAGCCATTTCTGAGCCAATGCCCAATTGAGCTCATTGAGCCCTACTTGTGTTGATGGAAATTAAAGATAAATACACAAAAATCCAAAACTTCAATCGGCTGTTCCTCTTGTCAGAGGTAGGACTTATGTTAGATAAATGATTAATGCTGTGGTGCAGGCTGCAAGCATTTCAATGTGGCACGCTCTTCTTCCCTTAAGAAGAATTAAGCTAAGAAGTTTTATTAAAAATTGTACACAGGGATATAACATCTTATACCATCAAAGTACATATAATGAGTGGAGACATAAAAAGTAAATAGATGCTGCTGGTTTGTGTGAGTGCACAAACATCAGGTCACCCCTGCATAAGTCAGTGCCCCATTTGGGCCGGCCCTGTCAAAAAGGTCTGAATCAACCCCTGCCCTGATTCTACAGTGAAGACACGTGCTTTATATAATCATCATCTTTATGTTTGCTGTGTGACCTGAATGTTCTGCAGATAATGTAAAGAAACAAAAACATGTTTATTCAAACTGTGGCTACTCCCAATTTAATCAAACAGTGTTGTGCAGACATCAGGTGAGAATAGTTAGTGTTGCAACTTGAAGGCCTGACAAGTACAAACCAGTTTACAGGTGAGTCAGGTGGACACCCTTTAGCACCAAAATGATTGTGTATCTCTCAGTGCTTATAGTTTATATTTTACTGGACTACCCACTGTCCAAGTCTGGAGTGATCATGTTTCTGATCTGGTTTTACCCTATGGATCATGTGCATCGATTACCCCAGGTGACAATGTGGACCAGTTACGCCCTTGCTCGAGTTGGGTTTTTTTTTGCGAGTAGTGAATGACTCACGTCCTCCATGATACCTGTCATCACAGGTCAGCAAATCTCCATCCGCGTCATTAACAGTAAAAGGGTAAAGCTAGTCGAATCCCACTACCGGAGTCTTATGAGTCTCCGTTAATTATTTATTCTGATAGCAGCCAAAATGTGACCGCTGCTACACAACGATCACAGTCCGATGCACGGCCCGAAAACTCTGCCTCTAGTCAGCGCCGTGCGTAACGGACATGTCAAGTACCACATTTACATTTAGCCTCAACTAATCCTGACGATTTGTAAAGCGACCAGAGGCAGGACTGACACACAGCAAATTAATAAGTAAACGTGAATCGGGACTCCGGTTTCCCTGGAAGTGTAAAGGGATTGGGGTAACATTACCGAGAAGAAGAACCTGATACCTGCGGCCACCAAGCCAGGGAATGAGAATAGAGACTCTCACTATGCAACATGTATGACACAGGGGAGAAAATAAGCTAAAGTTCTGGTATTTGTCAATAAAATAGTTGGCAAAATAAACCAGTAAGTCAGAAGGATATCTTCAGCATAAAAAGGAAAGTAAGAAAAAGTAGACTAACCGTCAGGACGGGGCAACAAACAGATTCAGCAAAGTCTGCTTCTTTTCTTTCTTAGAGATCCTCCTCTTCGATCTTGAGCAAGATTAACCAGCAACACATATCTTTTCCGTGATTTAACTTCTCTCCCCGGCCAACCTTTTTTTTTTTTTTTTCATCGTTATAGGGCGTGTGCCTGGGAGAGGGGAGGAATGTGGAAAGAGGCGCAGCTTGAGCAACAAGGCACTTTTTCAGCAACATTTCACAAACAAGCGTTTTCAAGAAAATAGAGCATTGATGATATGCTCCTTTTATGTATTTTTTTTGTTGTTGCATTTTTATTACTTAGTCTTTGTTCTTTAATGTTCTGTTCATTTCCAGACTTTTATTGCATCAGTCTTTCCCTCAACATGTAGGAACAGGCGCGTGTTCAAAGCTTTCCCAACAGACAGATGCAGCCAAGCCACACCCTGAAACTTTATTCACTTTGTAAAGAATGGAACGATTTCAGACAGAAGGAAAACTCTGGAATAAATAAACCAATACATAGACAAGTTGAGTAGTAAGAAACACACATGCTTTTACTTTTTTATTAAGAGTTTATTTTGACCTTTAAACACACATCTGTGTCCTGGATGATGATGATAAACAGAATGAAACGTGTGTTCCAAGAATTAGACAAGCCAAGAAAACGTAGAGGTAACACATAGATTCTCAGTTTTCATGAAGTACACTCCCACTCTGCTACACCCTTGTAGACCTGTAAGCACAAGCAGCTGTGAGTATGTGTGTGTGTGTGTGTTTGGAAACAGCTAGGGACTGGTTCTAATATTTCTGAAAGGGTTCAATAGTATTCAGAGTGTGTGCCAGTTTGGCAGTTGCTGGGTGAGAAGAAATGCAGACTGCTGATAAAAACACAGCTTCCTGCAGTTGAAACACACTTCAAGGTGTTTCCGTTTGGCTGTTTTCCAAATATATATTTTTTTCAAACCGTATGGCACAGAGACAAGTAAGTGACACACACAGGGCTGTAACAGAGTATCTAAGAACACTATTATAGGCTGAACCCCCCATGTCTGCTCGCAAGATGTCCAATCAGCTTCCAGAACTCCAGGAAGCTGAGCTCTCCATCATTGTCCTTGTCCAATGAGCTCATTAGCTGGTCAATGGCCGTGGAGTCGCCAGCATTCTGCAGGAAAACAGGAAGATGCATCAAATGCTAAGAAAACAAAAGTGACAGCTGATGTGTAAAAACTGGGATTTCATGCTGGTGTGTGTATGAGACAGAGGCAAGCTGACACCACTGGCACGTACACCAGTTCAATAATTCATGCAACATCAGCAGACGTGGTTTGGCACCAGGGTCAATGCATCTGTCACCATCTAGTGGTCTAGCTGAGTATATCAACTGTTCTTGAAAGCAGAAACAGATAGGAATTTTCCACACTTGGAAAAGGAAGCCAAGAGCTTTTTCGGAGTCGGTCCTCTGAAACTACTTCTTTTGCCATTCTGCTCCGGTTAGACTGCACTGGTTAAACTGCAGAATGCAGACAACACATCGAAAAGGAATTAAGGGGAACTTAAGAGCTCTCTCAAGGGTGTTAACTCCCATTCGATGACAAATCCATTGTTTTACTGGAACACAAAAAAAACAGTTATTTCCTGTGCCAACATGAGATGTAACCTCTGACTCCTGGCTGAGCTCACAGGCAGATAAGTAAATAGTGAAAAGTGTTTCTAAATATTCTTACTGTTATTTTACTCAGAAGTGCACTGAGACCACATGCATTGTAAACTACCATCCAGAATGAAGAGAAGTAGCCCTGAACACAAGTATGACTAACAGTAAATTATATGGTCACAGAGTTAAATGGGTCAATGTGGCATCCAGATGATAGCCATAGCAATTCCAATCCACCCCCAAGAATGAATTTTGCCTGGTAAACAAAGAGATTGTGAGCAAACTTCCTAGAAAAATCTTACTGATCCTCCTGTATTGTTTTGATTACAGATGACTTCTCTTAAATCTACGGATAAGGTCTGTGATATTCCGTTTTCTTATGGTTTATTTTTTAATAACCTTTTCCATGACAAGACAAAAAAAAAAAGACAAGGCGCTCTCCTTTTTTAAGACTCTGAATTCCAAAGCCTATTTGTGGATCTCAGACAGAAGACTTATCAATTCAGTACTTAGTTGAAGATGTGCACATTGCTTTGAGCCATACAAAGGCTGAGTGATTCTTAGAAAATGTTCAGTTTAGCCGCTAAGTGTTTGTTTTTTAAGTAGTGCTTTTGTAAGGGACTATTTTAAGCTGAGGGATAATACACATTTAGTGAACTGGTCAGTATTTATGGTGGAACTTCTGATTTACTTTTAATCAACTAAAGTGACCATGAGGAAGGACCAGCCTATGCAACAGTAAGAGGGCATGTGTTTAAAAAAAAGTTTTATGACAACAACGGAGCTCTGCAGCACACATGTATAAGATTTATGAGGCGTTGGCTGCACAGGAAGGAGTACAAGATTCATTGAGCACAAGTGCACTACATGCCGGAAGTTTCATCTCGGCAGCACTAAACCAGAAAGTTAAAGGTACATTTTGAATTTAAACATACAAAGATCAAGGAATTAGCTAAATATTCAAATTAATTGTATCTTTATTTAAATGAAGACTCTCTATCAGAGTTTATTCATCACACCAATAAGATAACTACATAAATGAATGAAACCACACATCGGATCTCTGGAGTTTTATCGCTTGTCAAATATAAAAACTCTTACCGTGACAAAGTTTGGGAGCTGAGATTTGACCAGTCTGTGAAACTCGTCTCTGCTCAGTGTGTCCGAGGAACCATCACTGCCAGCAAACGCCTTGAACTGGGACACCAGAACACCGATAGCAGACTCCATCACAGGTCAAGAGATGCACAGAGAGGATCTTTGAGAAATACTTCAGGAGAAATGAAAAAAAGTGATTAGATCATTACCATGAATTTTCCAAAATACCAAATACTTGTTGACACATATTACATTGTAGATAAAGGACAGATGAGACACTCCAACTCTTTCAAACTGACCTAACAAGACTCACTTGTTTGGATGTGTGCTGCTGGTACGTAGTGAAGTCACAAGTCCCCCCTGGTCTTCTTCTAGCCTATCTCTCCTGCTGAAGAGGAGAAATGATTGACTAATTTCTCTATATATTTCTAGATGTAAGTCAACTGTTAACTGAAGTGTGTAAAAATCTAAACTATATTCCCCGGAACTCTGACATTTTTCCATGATGTGATTGCATATCACAGATGCATTTTCAGTGTTTACACACAGTTTGTGGCAGGAGTTACAGATTACTGCATGAATCATCTATTTAGACTACCTCAGACTGACATTCAGAATTTCAATAGGTTAAACATTTGACAATGTGTGGGCACAAATAATTGAATGTTTTTCCAAGTTTATGCCAATGCATGGGAAATGGTCTAACACTTCTCCTTTGCTATGTGTGAGTGCAAGACTGAAAAGGCAAAATGCTGCAGAGAGCAAAAAGAGAGCACTAAATCAGGTATAATTATAAAGTCTGTGCTGCGAAAACTTTTGAGAATGAGGCCCTTGGGTTTCAGCTCAGAAAAGTCATATAATTCAAGCAAAAGCTCGGACAGGATGTGTATAATTGGCATATTAGGGAGGCAGTTAGTGCTGACAAACACAATGGCTTTATCATCCAAATATCCCCACACCTTGTTTTCTCATCTCGGCTGCATGACACACATACATAGACACATTAACTGTCTGTATCCCCGAACACCTGAAACAGCAGTCTACGCTTCTTCTCCTTCCATTCCCTTGACCATCATTGAGGAAGTAGAGTGCTGCTACAAACACCAACTAAATTACCTTCACAGAGGACTGAGAAATCACACAGAATGGTAAAAGAAATCAAGCTTTTCCATGGGGTGATGTGCTAGTTGACGAATAACCAATGTTATTGATGCTAGTTGCTGCTGGTGTATTAGTGCACCATGATGCATTGACCATACTGTATTTCCATACTTATTTAACTACTGGATTGCCTCTACACACCCATCCAGCATTTAACCTCGAGAGAAAATTCATTTTTTGCTCTAAAATATAGTGCATGAAACTTTTATACTCTATGAGTTTCAGCCCTATGCTCGTTTGTCTCTGCCAACAAGGCATGTTGCAGGTTATACACCCATCAGTCTTTCTTATTGAATGAATCTGTAACAGCCGCTGTGACAGGGGTAGTGCATATTTTGAAAATATTTGAAAGAATAGGTTACCCTAAAAACAAAACATCTGCAGAAGTAGGTCACAGCTCAATCATTTACAAGTGGGACGTATTACCTCCCTCTGCATTTCTCTTCCCAGCATGTGATAATCAGTAGAGTCCTCAGCAGCATCCCAGTTAGAATAAGGAGCTAAGCGGGGATTGAGCGTAAAGCAACTGTCCACCAGTTCATCCTGGATTGCGTTGTTCTCTTGAAGGGATACACAATTAAAATTAAACCAGGTATTAGATAGTCGTTTTGCTGAGGTATCGAGTTCAACGGGATTGTTGTGAGGACCGTAGAACTCCACGACCTGGAGAGGTTAGTCCTCGGGTCTATGTAAAATGTTTGTGTAACATTTGATGATTTTGCTTTCTGGTGATCCCAAGACATCCCTTTGACAAGAATGGGACGGGTATATTGTGCCAATTATTTCCCCCAGTGATCCCAATGTCACATTTAAGATGATTTTGGACTTCTTAGTGATATTTTAATACCAAATTCTAATCAATTCATCCTTGAACTTTAGGCCAAATATGAAGAAAATATAGACATGTCCTAAAGGTAAGCCTGCGATATTGTTTTCTTATGTTTATACATACACACACACACACACACACATACATGACAACCTGATAACATGAAGCATCCAGCTTTGGCTCCACCAGCAAAGAGAGATAATACGTGTTGGAAAATCCACTGCCCTGTAAATTATACTCTAACACTATACTATGTTGATACAAGACTTATTTACCACTTTAACAGACTTTATCAGGTGACTCATTATTGCAGAGAAGTCTGCCTGAGGGAATGAAAACCTGCACGAAATGTTAGTTTCCCCAGAGGCAGCAGTTTTCTTTGTATGTGAATATTTTGTTCGTGGGAGTGTGTTTTATGTGCTTCAGTGTAGCAGAAGGATGGGCCCTCACTCTATGGGTAGCAGCTAAGAATGAATATTGCTTGCATGCAGAGAATCACTGTATCTGAAATCTCAGTCCTGTACCTATAACATATCTACACTTATATATATATTATCTATGTACAAAGAAAATAAAAACCCATATCTTACTAAGTGTTACCTCTGTTTTGTGTAAAAAAAAAGTGACACTGATTGATAAAACACACTCAATGGCAGAATGATACAAGATCATTTGTTAATCTCACCCAACATCTGTATCTCTGATACCATCAGCTAAATACCGCCACACGCCCAGATACAGGGCATATGAGGCAGGGACTCAGTGTATCCCTGAGGAAATAGGAGATTAGCTGATCATCAGTTTTGCAAAGGGAAAACCACGGTCCATTGAAATAGTCAGATTCAACCACAGACAGTGACTCACAACTCACTAAAAAAGTGACAATTTGACTTTACTGATTCTACTGACGTGCACTTAAAACTGGTGGGAAACTAGTTCAACCAACGACTGAGCACTAATAATTAATAATGAGAAACGTCACCTTGATTCTTGCGTTGCAGATCCACCCAGTCTTGCAAACCCAACAGGATGAAACTCAGATGAAGAATGAAGACCTGGAATTACTTTTTAACATCAAGAGTTAGATTTTGCCATGTGGGATTCTCTTTGAAGACTTCGTAAACATTTCACAAGTCAATGAAAAGACGACAAATCAAAGTTAATCTATCACTGGGATGCACCCAATTTATTATTGTGCTCTTATGACAGTAATCGGGGCAATAGTGAACATCAGAATCATACAGTGTTCTATCTGTGCTGCAAACAAAAGCCTAGAGTATGTTGTTCTGCATCACCAACCTCTGAAAGATCATCTCTATGTAGCCACAGGATTTGAACCAGAAACATTTCCTAAGCATTTTAACAGTGCCATAACAAACATAAACAAAAACAAATGCTACATTCGTGATCACCTAGAATTAAGGACATTTTAGTGCACAACATGAGTCCTGTACCTGAAAGAAACATACATGCTCAACATGTCATCATCTGTGACAAGCTTTTTTTTTTTTTTTTTTAAATGGACATACCATCTCTATAAAATAAGTTAATCAGATATTTATGCATTTCAGCATAGTTCTTTAACACATTTAATGCAATATGTACAAACATTCAAAAGAAAATCTACACAGACTTCTATATTTTTGCATAATGCATTCACTACGTTTTTTGCAGCAGTTCACTCCACCCTTTATCAAAAAACTGTTAAAGACTTCGATATAATCTGACATTATGACTCACGCTAAAGTAATTCATATACATAAAGATGGAGTCCTGGAGGTACAGGTTGCTCGGTGAATAGAAAGACTTCAACAGTGCTCAGTGCTGTTTGCAGAGGAAGAGGCGTGGTGCATGAATAAGACTGTACAGTATCTTTTTTTAAATGAGAGTCCAAACAGAGTTACATTCAAGTCAATCTAACAGGTGAAATCTTCTGTACGCACAGAGAGAAGGTAGCACTTACAGTCCATCAAAGGATGTGCTCACACATTTCAAAAAGCTAGATATGGATATTTTTGGAGCTTTCCATGGATTTAACTTTAGAAGAAAAGCACACAACGGATAAACGTGTACACATTATGCATCACTACCATCTGTAGCTTTTTATATTTACTGAAGTCCACCCAAAAATCTGATGTGAAGCAAGCATTTTCTCTATTATTCAGTGCTTATGTGTGTGCATGTGCATAGGTCAAATAAAGAACCCACAACATTGAAACCACTTTATAAGTTGAACACGAGAGGAGGGGTAAAGTAAGATCCTGTAAAAAGTATGACAGGATAATAAATGTGTATATGTAAGTATTCGTGGTCCATTATAAAATGTTCCCTTTGAAAAGAACCCTCACCCGTTATGACTTCTCTCAGCTACTTTTCACAGATCCATCGGTTCTGCTGCTTCATCAGCCACGTCCTTGTCCACCCTCCCTCCTCCACTCCCCTTTGGCTAGCTCTTCTTTCTTTCCTGCTCCTGGCACTGCAAACTTTTTCATCACTTCTTTTTCAAACGCCTCCATTTCGTCCTCTATGGCGCTGTCCTCTTCGTCCTCTTCGTCCCCTTCTTCCCCTTCTTCATCGCCTTCCACCATGTCTTCCAAAATGTCGGCCACATCCTCGATGAATTCTTGGAAGCTCATCTGGTCGTGAACAAAGACACCCTCTTTGAAGAATTCCGCTGCTAGCTTTTTGAGCTCTGTTCTTTTGTATTCATCCACTCCCACCTCCTCAGCCTTGGTTAGGTACGTTTGGAGTACGGCTTCAAACTCAGGGAAGGGGACAGGGTGCAGCCCCTCTGAGCCGGCACAGGACTCCAGTGAGTCACAATGCTGTGATGGTTTGGCGTTGTGCTGGAGGCGGTCTTTTTGCTGGATCCAGTAGTCAGGATGCTCCAGGGAGGTCTTGCGGTGTGAGTGAGGAGGCTTCCTGTCTCCCCATAGATGCTCTTCTTCATGGCCATTTTTCAACTTGAGCTCATCTTTGTGCATCTGGGAGCTTGACTTGTCCTTCTTCCAATCTTTCTTTTCTTTCTGTCCCTCTCTCTTCCACTTTTCTTCCTTGTTTTCCCACTGTTTACTCTCATCTTTTCTCTTCCACTCCTTATCATCCTTTCCATTTTTCCAATCCTTCTCCTTCCATTGTTTCTTCTCATCCTTCACCTTTCTTTCTTTACCAGGATTTTTGTTCTCTTCCCACTGTTTCTTTTCACCTTTTCCTTTCCATTCTTTACTATCTTTGCTTTTTTTACTCTTCCAGTCGCCCTCTTTCTTCCACTCTTTCTTCTCTACTTTCTCTTTCCGATCTTTTTTCTCCCATTTGTCTTTGCCACTTTCTTTGAAGCCATCCTTTCCTTTCTTCCATTCCTCCTTGACCTTGTGAATCTCTCCATGGTCTCTTCCTATCCTTCTCCTCCTTACCCCTCCATTGTTTTCCCTCATTCACTTTCTCATGCTGTTTTTTTTTCAAGTCTTTCTCCTCCTTTTTTTCTTTTCCCCCATTCTTGTCTTTCCACTCTTTCTTACCTTCCCTGTCCTTCCATGACTTTCCTTCATCACCTCTGCTCAACTTATCTTTCTCCTTCCATTGTTTTGCCTCATCAATGTTCCACTTCTGCTTATCTTTCTTCTTTTCCAACTTTGCATGTTCATGTTTGTCTTTTTTCCAGTCCCCCCATCTTTGCGCTCCTTTTTTGCTTCTTCCTTCACTACAGATTTTTCTCTTTCTGTCTTGTAATTTTCATTCTTTTCATGTCTTTCTTTTTCTCCTTCTGGTCATCCAATGGCTTCTTATGTTGACTCTCTATAGATCCATCTGTTTGCTGTGTGCTAACCTCTGGCTGTCCACCAGGGGGCGACAAAGATGCTCCTTTTGCTGCTAAAAAAAAGACACAAGAAGTCACTACAACAAGCTTGAGAAGTTAGCATTTAAGAGAGAAAAAGAGAAAAAAGAAAACTGAAGCAATACACTACACTTTCTCTTACTATAAAAATTAAGTCATAAAATAAAGTCTTTTTTTTATCCTTCATGCCCCCTCCCTACCTCCCCCCTCTGTCCTCCTATAGTACCTGGGGAGAGTTTTAATTCAGTCACAGTGGATCTCAGCATTTCTAGTTCTTTGTGTAGGGCCACGACAGACTCCAGCTCTCTCTTCATCCTCTCATTGTCTTTCTGAAGGACAGGAAGAGACGCAATTTCTTTCTTCAACCTACTGTTTTCCTTCTCCACCTCCTCCCACCGTAGATGCTCCTTCACTCCCTCTGCCACCGCTCCCTTGACTACTTTTAGCTCTTCTTTCTGTGCCTGTAAAGAAGAAAACGACAGAAAAAGGCCCAGTGAGAATATTATACACCCAGTGACATGATTTTGCACAGACTCACATGAATATATGTTGCGATGTATAAAACATAAACGCACACAGACTGGTTGAAAGACAGAATGGAGTCACACCTGAAGCTGGGCTTGTAGCACAGAAATCTGCTCGTTCTCTTTGGCTAGCTTATTTAGAAGCTCTGTACTGTCAGCATCTACAGGGGACGATGGAACCTCTGGATTAAGCCACTCCTGACAACAACAAAAAACGCACACCAAGTAAAACAACATTTGAAATGACTCACAGAATTCTCATTGTCAGACAGACAGTAGAAGAGAAGCAAGAGAACGGTACATGATGAGACTGGGAAGAACAAAAGTCCAGAGTAGCACATTTAACAGACAATAGCAGTAATGCTGCCAGTGTGGGTAGTCTCCTGCTGAGCAGATAACACTGAATATTCATGTAGTATTCATTGTGCTGTAAAATGGATACATAAAATGGCATAATGAAGAAAAAACATGTTAGACAAGAGTGACCACAGACATACTTAAGAAGGGATTAGATGTTATAAATTGATGTCACACTGACCTGTTTTCCTGGTAACTCTGCGTCTTTCAGCTCCCTCGTAGCATAATCACTGTCTGAAAATGTAGGATTCAAAACTTTATTTTCATGGAAATAGAACCCCAACAAAAAAAACACACAAGAAAAATATGTACATGCACATTTCAAAAGGTTCAACTGGGAAGGTGGAACAAAAAAATCTGCACACATGAATGTATGACACGGAGGAGGGTAAAAGTTAAAGACAAGAACAAACTCATCAGGTATAAATGATCATACCTGGTGATGTTCGGTTAGACCGCAATGTTGTACTATCTAATAAATATGTCAGCGTAAAGCGAGACAGTGTGTGGGAGTTTTTCTCATTGCCTTTAAATGATTAAACTAGCACATACCCTCACAACAATCAATGCTTTTGAAATAAATGATATACTTGAGCGCTGAGTAGGGGCAGACACTGTATAATAACATTTAATTCAAAATGAAAGGTAATGGACAATGTATTTATTGCCTGTTTAGCCTGAAAACCATGTATCTATATTTGTTTTTCTTATTTTCCGCTTCAGCATTAACCATTATTGCCAGAATATTCCAGTAATACATGAAAAGCAAAGCCTTTGTGTTTATAGCATGTTCTCAATAATGTTTATCTTCTTCGTCTTCTTAATGTAGTACAAGGTTTTCATTTAACAATGGTGAAGGAGTTGTGTTGCAAAAGTGTATAATCTCTTTATAAATCGTGTTTATAAATATACTCTGCTTTGAAATTTGCGTTAAAATATGTTTTTTCTTTCACTCTGAATGCACATCCAACACATGCAGCATGTAGGGTACAAAAAAGCATGCACGCACAAACGAGCACATACCCTCATCCAGGTCCATCAAGACACCTGCAGGTACAATACATCTCAGTCTCAGAGCTTCCAAATTATAGTCCAGTGCTAGTTACCCATTACTTTCCCCTATCTAAACCCATTTGACGTCCTTATGTTTACATCTTAAATAACATTAAACTTAACATTTCACATGGAGATGCCTACCAGAGATAAAGATGGTGCCAAGGCCCAACAGAATGACAGCACCCAGGATGCACTTGTTCACAGAGAACCCGCTGTCATCGTCACGCGGAGGCAGCTGAAACTCTTCCACACCTTCGTCTTCCTCCTCTCGTTGTCCAATCCGCTCAATGGCAGCTAAGAGAGACCTCCTTCTCCTCACCTCTGGCTCTCCCTCCGCCCCGGTCTTCTCTGTGCTCTCCTCAGCCACCTCTGAATCCACAGGGGAGTGGGAGGGAACAGTATAGAAAGTGGTTGTTTAAATATATTTGATTATAACTCTGTGATAGGTTCATTCATTTTTTTTTAATTGGTATCCCAAAGGCATAAATGTTCATAATAGCGTCTCAATTAATGTTTATGAATCTCATGATCTATTTCTGACAGATTGATTATAGGAAAACAAAGCACTTGCAAACTTTTGGACATAACTTTGCTTTTGCACTTAAACAGCTGATGTTAGAAAGCACAATATAACCAGTAGGATGCTGCAGCGGGAGACAAAACCCTCATAGGTGCTGCACGGGTCTTAATCTCCTCTGCTCTTCATGGCAAGCTGCTTAATTTGCTCCATTGCCATTCCTTATTTCCCCTTTAGACTGCATTATTAATGCTTCAATCTGAAACAAATTGTCTGGTAAGTGCTTCAAACACTCCATTTTGTAACTTCTGGCACATCCAAACAAGCTTCCAAACTACTTTGACACTTCATTGTTAAATGGTACTATAAATGAGCTCTGAGATGAACCCAATGACACTGAATTCTGGTTGGTAAACTAAAAGTCTATGAAAAAAAAATGCACAAGAGAGCAAAAGGAGGCTCATTTTTTAACGCTGTAGTGAGAAGAAAAAAAAAAAAAAAAAAAAAAAAAAAAAGGGCTGCAGACCAAAAACACGACACTGCAAAAAACTTTAGAGGTCCCAGTCCCTCTGAAGCCAATTTACTTCTGCAGGGTGTCATGCAACTAAATGATCCTCTGTCACATCATGCTCCCTTCCTCATACCAACCACAGCCTCTCCAGACAACCTCCTGGCCCAGATACTGAACAATTCCAAAACCAGCTGGTCCACCAAGTACACTTCAAACACAAATAGTACATACTGCTTAGAGAAATAAAAGAGAAGGTTAAAACTGGTGCTGCGGTTATTAGAGTAATAATATAAACAGACTTTGTCTTGTAGTTCATACCTGCCTGTTTCCCTATATCAGGTGTCCTCGACTCCTCCCCCTCCAGTTGTAGCCCCTCCCCATTTAGCAAATACACTGTTGCTTCTTGTGTGAGCCTCTCTTCCTCCTGTGTAGACTCCACTCCTCCCAGAGTCTCTGTGCTCAGCAGGTAGACTGGGGGTTCCTCAGGAGAGGGGGTTATGTGGGTGTAGGAGTCAGAAAATGAATCAGGGTCAGGACTGGTCTGTGCCGGGCCCTCAAGTAGGTCCTCTGACTGGCTGAGTGTATCACTGTCAGGGACAGAGCTGCTCGATACTTCCAAAGAGGTGGGAACAGGGGATTCAGTAACAGCAGCTGGCACTTGGGCATGTTTCTCAGTGCTTGCGTCTCCACTTAGCTGGGCTGTTTGTTCTTCTGGTACCTGGTCAGAGAATCAGGTAAAAAACTGCTTCACGTATCATACTGTCAAAGATTAAAAAAACCCTCCTTTAAGAATTTTTAGTTTTAGTTAAAGACGAACTTAAACGCAAAGGTTTTGACAATTTGGTACGTATTTATATTAAAACTTAAATACCACTCCTTCCTACATGTCGCAGATAAGACACGTCAAGCAGTCAGTCAGCCTAGTTCAGTACAAAGACTGTGTGGGAAACATGGCAAAAAGTGGGTAGGGAGCCAAAAGTGAAAAGGTAAGCCAACCAGCACATCTACATCTTACTATTTAACAAGTTAGTGTATATTTTACACTTCACATATATGATAGACGAATATGGATAAAAGTTAAAGTTATATGCTTGACTATTTCTTGACTTGGGTCTGTTTCCAAATAACCACAAGAACTTCAGGAACTCCTTGTGGCCAACAAATTGTCCACAATAGTTCAGAGGTTTATGGAGACTAGAGATGGGCATGGTTACTGGTACTTATCGGTACGACTGTGTATTATTTGTCTCAAAAAACTGATTGCATGTGGACAGAGGAGCAGAATTGACATGAAAACAGTAATTTTATCCTGAATCCTGATGTAGGAAACAACCCTCAGGTATATCACTGACATAATAAACAGTATTCTACAATGTAAAATCTACAGGAAAAGCAAGCTGAAACTGTTGATCCAGTTTTATACCCAGAGGAGCACAGTGTGTCCAGGAGCTTCAGGGTATTCTTGGTGCTGGTAAATCACTTACCGGAACCAAAAAGTTCTGGTTTTCAGCAATCCAAAAATAGGTACTTGCCCAGACAAAAGTAGAATAATGGGACGAGGACACCACATTTTGCATGTGCAACCCATAAGTTGGGACATTGTGTAGATGTAAATAAAAACTGAATGTGATGATTTGCAAAACATTGAAAGCCCAGATTTAACTGAAAATAGCACAAAGACAACATGTCAACTGAAACTGAGAAAAATCATTGTTTTTGGAATATGCCCCAATTGAATATGATGCCAGCAATACATTTCAAAAAGGATGGAGCAGGGTCATGTTTACCTCTCTGTTGCATCACTTTTTCTTTTCACAAGGAGCAAAAACTGAAGAGAGCAACTTCTGTTTTTTAAAGAGGAATGTTTTACCATTCATGCTTCATGTAGGATTACAACTGTTGAACAGTTCAGGGTCTCCTTTGTCTTATTTCACGCTTCATAATGCTCTAAAGATTTTCATTGGGGGACAAGTCAGGACCGCAAGGAAAAACCAGCTCATCAGCCAGGCTCTTTTACTACAAAGCCATGCTGTTGTAGTACATCCAGAATGTGGTTTGGCATTACTTTACTGAACTAAAGGAAGGCCTTCAGAGAATAGGACGTTATCGTATGGCAGCATTTGTCACTGCAAAAGCTAAATATACTGCTCAGCTTTAATACCAATGCTATGTAGACTAATGCACCCCCATAATAGGGATGTTCCTGGCGACTGATTTCCAAGTCGATTAAAAGTCAATTTAAACTCAGACTGTATGACTTATCTAAGGTAAGAAACAATCAGAAAACAGTAAAAATCAAATCAAAGAGCATCAGAGCTCGCGACAGATTTTGACTTTGCCTCGGTCTGTGAACACAGTTTGTCACTGCAGTCACAAATGTTAGCTGAAATACTTCAATGCAGAGAGGAAACTGTCTATTAACCAGATCCATGGACTATGTTTTTTCGGAAATGAAACTATTTTCCAGCACAGTGTTTCACAGAGTGGTGAACGGAAATTGCTCTGGTAGCTGGAGAGGTGCCAGGGTGCCCCTTGAGCAAGATATCGGACCCCCAACCGCTGGTGTGCTCCCTGTGTAGCAGTGTGTAGCAGCCCCACTCTGACATCTCTCCACTAATGCATGTCCACGGTTGCTGTTTGTGCATGTGTGTGTGAGAAGCATGTCTCTCAATAGCAGAGTGTAAACCTGAATTTTCCTCAGGGATTAAAAAAGTATTTCAAAATCAAATCAAAAATCAAACCTCCTTGTCCTTACTTCAGACAGTCTATGCCTCTCTGGAATGCTCTTTCAATACCCAATCATTTTACTAATCTGTTGCAAGTTACCTCTAAAATGTTCCATCAGGTGTTTTCCCATCTTTTCCAGTCTTTTGTTGCCACTGCCCTGACTTTTTAAAAACATGTTGTCGGCATCAAATTCAAATTAGATATCTCTTTTTTTTTTTTTAAACAACATTTGTTATGTTTTCTTAGTGCTATTTTCTAACAGTTATGGGGTTTCAATGTTTTGAAAGTTATCACATTCTGTTTTGAATTACATTTCACACAACGTGCAAACTTTTTGAATTTGAGGTTGTATTACATGATAGGAAATTAGGTATTGGTGTCTTACCGGTTGGCCCTCCACAGGTGGTTCCTCCACAGACTCTTCACCATTTGCGGGCTGATTGCCCCCTAGATCCCCATCATGAAAAAAAAAGAAAAACAGAAGGAAAGAATAGAGACTTTCAGGGTGGCAGTTTTACAAATATTGCATACCATCACAGTGTGTATAAAACCAAATGAAATATGGAATCTTATTTTTCACCTTTCTATTTGATTTGTTACCTGAGAACGCAAGTAGAAATCACAGACACACACAAACCACAACAAGCTTGTGTGACAGAAAGGTATGTTTTCCTGTGCCATAAATACATATTTATATATTCAAATGCATTGTGACAAACACCTGCTGCAGAAGGAAGACTTTCTTCATGGTGCTCTGTCCCCTCTTCCAAAGGCTTCAGGGTTTCAGCTACAGTCTCCTATGACAAACAACAGACATTACAACAATCAAGAAAAATAGTGGCTCAGTAACAATGTCTTCATTAACAGCTATTGCCTGGGGGCCGATTAAGCAAGGCATGTATAACTAGCCCTAGTGCTGTTAAGCCAGTCAGACACTCTGTCTCCTTTTGTCTTTATGATTGAACTATTATTATTAAGTCTTACGTCATAAACCTACTTCTCGCATTAAGATGGCCCAAAAGAAAATCAATTAGGACAGACAATTTGCTTTTTTAAAAAGTCATTTTCAGTGAGGTCATGCACAGTTGCTCCACAGGCTCTTTGAAGAGTTGTGCTACCTCAGGAGTGAGGATGGTCCAGCTGTTGTTAGTACTGCTGCCCCCAGACATGGCCCCCTAGAGGCTTTGCCTGTCTCCTGCAACACAAGAGGGACATACAGAGCAGAATACATGATCAGCAGTAGTCGACAAGAACAAATCAAACAGATTAATGTCCTTGACATTTACTCCTTTGTGTCTTTGTGTCCTCTGCCTTTAAGCTGGCTGTGTATTTTTCCAATAAGGTTCATTCTTAATTTTAAAGATGGCGGAGTTGGAAAACAGGATCTGATTTGATATTTAAAAAAAACAGTTATACTGAAGTGACAGCTCACAACACTAAGATGTCATGCGAGTCTGCCACTAGGCCACATTTACTTTGAAAGAATGACGCAGCTAAGATAAATTTGCATCCTCTGTTTGCACATGCACAGTATTTGAATACATGCTGTTGCTATTCAGCCTCACCCATTATGCCAATAAAAGAACCTACTGTAACCTGTTGCTAACACTTTGCTGTGTGTGTGTGTGTGTGTGTGTGTGCAGGAAGTCCTGGTTCCAGGGACAATTCAGTTCTTCATTAGTAGTTTGTGTGTGTTGTGGGGCTTTTGGTCACCCTGGCTTTTGACTATCCCGGAAAATGTTTTGGCAGAGACACGGGTAACTATGGCCAGCACCATTCTAAAGATACAGACAGCAGAATGGGCCGTCTATTTTAAAAGTTACTTCTCTGTTAATATACGCCCATAAAATACCACTTATTATAGCTTAAAATAGACCCATTACTATATGCAAATGACTAAGAAATCCAAAGTTTAAAGTTAGATAAACTATTTCCTTTAATCTTCACTTACAGTCAGGATCACTCAACAAGCATCACAGATTTCAATTTCTCCATCTGCTCACATACACAAGTATAACATCTTTCCATTTAAATAGAACAGGATCACAAAACAGAGATGCGTGTATTTTATGTTTAGTCTGGCTCACTTCAGTGGATGCAGAAAGAACTAACCACTTAAGTTAACACCACACCGTCTGGGTAATGACACACTTCAATCCCCAAATTCAATTCTCTCCCAGCGCCGCAATTTAGGTCTTCTAATCGAGCGCTTCCCAAGAGAGGTCTACTGAATCTAGCCTAAGGCCCTGCGAGCATTGTGCAGCATATAGTGGAATGGCTTAAATAGATAGCAGCTAAATATAGCTGCCATGAGATTGACTAGAGACAGGAAGAAGGAGCATACAGATACAAATTGGAACAAAACGCAGGAAGCAATGTTTTCAGAGGACAGTGTTTAAAAGGGATTATTGTAAATGCTCAAAGGAGATGGCTTTTGACAGAGAATAAAAAGTATTAAATCTCTGGTAGGCCCTATTGTATTCTCTGGTCTCTGTAAGTGAACTTGTAAAGCTTTTACATCAGATCTTAAACTTTCTAATTTCATACCTGACATACTACCTGATCTCATTTTCATATAAACAGTGATCTGTTTCCAGTTGAGCAAGCCTAATGTGTCACCTAAAATTGTACACAGCAATTGAGGCCACTTTTTTTTTTTTCTTTTTATAAAACAAAAGATATGATAACAGACCCGGGTTTAATCGCATTATCTGACATCAGGAAGAAATTACCAAAAAAGGTAAAGAGAATAAAGTGCAGGAAGAGGCAGGCCATTAGAAAAGCAATGTAGGCTGCCAGCGAAAACACCATGAGGAGCTTGTTCTCAAGAGTTCTTAAACAGGACAACCACCACAACAGTCTGCATATCAAATCACTATGTGTAGTGAAACAGCATCTTTTAGCTGGTAGGGGAAATGTCAAGGCAACTGGGTTAATGAAAAAAAACTTAGTACCGAGTAGCCTATAGTAGGCTTACCCAAATTAAATTAAGAAATATAACATTTAGACATCATATTGACCAATGATAGTAAGGCTAAATCACAGAACTGTTCAGCTGGCAGGTTAACAGTGAGCATAAGACATTAATTCAAAACTTTCAACCGTGAATACAGTCAACCGAGCAACCAGGAAAAGTGAGTGAAAACGACGCTGTCAACGCAACAAACAAAAAAAAAAGTAGCCAACAAAAAAAGAATGACGTGATAGCTTTGAAAGAATAAGCTTTTCATGTGGGATATTTAGGTCAATCTTACCGTGTTCCGCTGCTTCACTTGACACTCCACAGTCAGTCAAGGATACAGAACCAGAAGAAACACTTCTGAATCTTGACATCCAACTTTGGAACATGAAGCGTGCCTCCTGAAGTTGCATGATTGACGTGCCTCTTGTCCATTCAGAAGACAGCGTTTGCTTGCAATCCAGCCCCTTGCTTCCCAGCTCGACCAATGGCAAAAGGGGGGCGAAACTGTGACTCAGTGGGAAGCTTACAGTCTGTGGTGGGAAGGCGTCCAAGATGATTGACACACGCAGGTGATGGTGCGTATGTAAAACATACATCTCACATAGGTTAGGTTTTTTTATTTACACGCCTCCAGTCCTCAGCATTTGTATACAGGTAGTCCTCGGGGTTGGGTTTATTCCAGGAGGTTGATATGTTGGTCACAATATCCCCCTCCCACACAAATATATTATTAGGCTGTATAGTATGACTTACAACACATAGGCCTACATTATAAACTATGTCAAATAGAATAAATACTAAATATCATCCAATTCAAACCACAAACTAAATCATTCTTTTAGCTGTACATAGTACACTTACTATAATATTAATGACAACAAAATGAACAAAATTGCAGACATAAAGGTAATTTTTTTTCTATACATTATTTCCTTTATTTATGCACACCAGTGTTTGTTGTACAGTGTTCATCAGGGGTGAGATTCCTTAAAATCCGAGGAAGAATACAGGAAACTCTAACCCAGTCATCATTTGTTGCATTTGGAAATGTGTCTGTGTGTTTACTTTTTGATTGGAACCCAAGGGGAGAATCCTTTAAACACTGAAAAACAAGACAGGGAAAAAAAAAACTCATCACACAGCAGAAAAACAACAACAACAACAAAAGCCTCTCATTGTCAAGCTTACATTTTAATATTGAGGATCTGACTTATTACATACATTTAATCTAAATTACACTCAAATGGTAATTTGTTTTAAGATGATAAAGGACACATACCTTCCAATGCGTTGCCAGCAGTGCTTATCAAACACTCAATTTCTGATGAAATAAAAGGTTGTTGAAACCAAACTCAAGGAGTCAACCGAGGAAAAAATAGAAAGAAAATCAATGCTTGACCACTTGATCTATATTTGTCTCAGTCTCTCAGTCCAGGATCTCTTTGATGCACCAGCAGCACAGCAGGAAATAGAGGCACTCCTTAACAGACTGGATGAAACCATAAGCAACGTTTCCCCCCAGGAAGTTTTTGCCTTGTCCCAGACCCATGGCCATGTCCCTCAGGTGCTGTCCCAGAGAGGAAGAAGGCATGGCCTGGGGAAGAGGGCGCTGGGGATGCATGGCTCTGGAGAGGAAAATTGAGCGACCAGGCAGAGGCAAAAAACACGAGGGCAGTCGCTGAGAAGTAGATGATGTCTGACTGGGCCCGTGCAACAGCTGAGTTCTGGCTCAGTTAGCCCCTGTACTTATAACCTCCTACACTGAATACATGAACGTCCTGCTTTTTCTGGACTGTTCCCTGCTTTCAAACATCTGCTGATTGATTAAGGGCCTTGTTTGCCTTTGTGTTGCACTGTTCCCCTCTGTTGTATAGTACAATCCCCCTATAGGTTCTAATAATCCCTGATTCAGCCCCCTACTGTTACAGGCTCATCTTTTCAAAAACAAGAGAGTTCCAGTAGCTCCATTACACCCCACCCACTCACCCAACTGCATCCCACTCTTTGTTCAGGACAGTATGTGACAGACCATCATACCTTCTAGCTGTGTGTGCTTTGTTTTGAATGATGAATTTTTCATCAGGTTTTTTTTCTCTGTATTTTGGAAGAAAAATAAAAAGGTACTATCAAAGTAAATCAGCAAGGGAATAAATACCCTGTGTAAATTCACACTTAGTTTAACAAAAGCCAAACTGACAAAGACAGATGAATGATATATTTATTTATATATGCAATGTATATTTTCAGATACAGATGTAAACCAACATGTTTCCCTACAAAAAAAAAAGTATTAAAACAAAAACATATACAAAGTAAAAATCAATATCTGTGCACGCTATTCAAAAGTAACCTTTGGCTTTCAAAAACACAAATTAAAAAGTACAACAGCATCATCAACACAATATCACCACCACCGACAACAAACAAGAAAAAGGATTTTCATGCAACAAAGGCATCTGTGATAAGATATGATTACACAGGACCAGTTCACTAAAGATGGCGAGGAGCAGGTGGGTCTGTTTCAGGACACACACACAAGGACACACACACATACACACACATACAGGCATGTGCAGTAGTAGCAGAACTTAAAGCTCTAGTTTTCCTATCTTTGACCTACAAACACCTGAACAGGCATGGGTGTGTGTGTGTGTCTCAGTGACCCAGCTGTCACTCAAGCATGTGTGTGTGCATGTTACATTACATATGAGATTACCACTTTGGGGTCTCAGCACTAGATGACAGGTTTCAATAATACCTTCATGAGTTTAAAGAGTTTGGCCTTGATCTTTTTGACACGTTTGGTTTTCTTTAAGAGCTACCTCAGTGCTGTGCTGTCTGGCTCTGTGTTACTTATCATTAAATACACAATTACAAAAACAATAATCCAACACTAATCTGACCAGTCATGGGTCGATGGTATTTACAGATGGTCAAGAATTTCCCCCCCTCAATGGTGACATCAAGTATCTGTGACTTAAAAGCTGAATGCAAGGATGTGCATCAGAAGAGATTGCCATCACTGGATCTGTTAATGTGTGTTTGTTGGGAGTGTCGTTTTTGCAGAGTCTCTGTTTAACTGAGAGGCTTGAGTAGGATTCTCCTGTAGTAAACTACATTTGAATTAAGTACACAAGGTGACTGCATTGAAGTGACGTGACTGCATTGAAGAAACAAGGCACGATTAATAAAGACATTAAAAAAACAACACCATGAACTGAGGGGGGGGGGGGAGGAGGAGGAGGAGGACAGTGTGGCCTTCCTCCCCACAGATCCTAAAAGTTTGTGAAAACAACACACTGAGGAGCAACGTTTACCTTAACATTTCAGCACAAGCAATGCTCTGAAAACATGTACAGTTTGTCCTCATGCTCTAATAGCCTCAATCCACTCTGATCATTTTAAAAGGACATTATTTCCTAAAGTGATTAAAAAATAGAGCAACATTACCAAACACAAACATTATATAAACAGTTACTGCGACACACTTTGCATCATTTTTTGCAGGAGGAAATCCATTGCTTAGACAGTTTTTTTCTAGTTGACCACCATTTAAAGGGCACTCTGTTTACTTACCATCCTTTACTTTTAGTCAGACAACTCTGTAAAGATAGAACCCATAGATTGTCGATGCAAACACATACTAAGAAGTCGATGAATGTGTACTAGATGTTGGGTTTTTAGGCCACATCAACACTCAATTTACTCCAAAAATGTCCTTTTTGCTGACGTTAACCCCTCTAAAACAGTGCCCTTTCACATAAGCTCCCGACGGTGTCAGCACACAAAACAGATCACTTGATAGTCGTCATGGCTTTCTATGTTAGCGACCAAGTTCATGTTCTTTGGCATGACAGGTGGTGCAGCAGACCGTGTGTTGTAAAGGTATATCTGGGTTAACAAAGAGATACAGCTGCTGAGATTCTCCTGAAATCAGAGTGACCAATGAGAAACAAGTCCAAAGATAAGAGAAAACAAAAACAGAACATAAAAAAGGATCATTGGCATAGCAGTCCCCAGTTTTGCATACAGGCTTTCTTTCCTCATCACCAAGTGTCACTCCAGGAGTTCGTTCATAGGTCCTTAAAGAGGGGGAGTGGTTGGGGGTTAAAATGGAACCTCCTGATTTGATTGGAAGCAAACTTCTTTTAAATGCATATTCACCAGGCAGGATTATGACACAGTCAGGTTTGATGCTGAAGTGCTCCAGTGACACTTGAAGGGAGTGTTTATGTTTGAACCTGGATCAGTCTCTCCAATGAATATCTGCTGCGTTTCTGTTTTTTTTGTTTTGTTTTGTTTTTGCCTGATATGCTCCAGCAACAGTCTGAGAAGAAAAAAGTCATCCTCCTGAATGTAAGAACAAATGCTCAGTTTTTTTCACTTTCATTCCCATATTTTTTGTACAGGTTTCAATGTGTTATTAAAATGTTATTTTTTTTGTCTTCATCCCACAATATATTTCTTTTTACACTAAAAAAAAAATTGCATTTTTTTCTGCCCTGTTCTGAATTGAGCAAAGCTCCTCCCTGGTTCACAGTAGGCTGTTGAGAAAATGCAGCAGTGCTTCTCCGTTGTGGAGGGATGCGCCTGATAGTTGTTGGAGTGGAGGACTGCAGGTCACAGTTTTAGTTTCAGTTCAGTTTCAGAAAGAACAGAATATGTAGCAACAGCAGCATGAGAGAGATTTTGCAGATAATCTTTTTTTTCTTTTTCTTTTTTGGCTTCCTTTGAGATGGTTTGTGAATTTGTATCCTTGTCCATGTAAAGTGTAGTGTTGTTGTGTTTTTTTTTTTTTTTTAGCTAATGAAAGAATGTTTGTCTTTTGTGTTTAATGGCTGCAGGAGTGTGTGTATATTTGGTGTAGTAGTTCATTGGTGTGTGTAATGTCAGGCTCTGCGCTCTACTGGCTGCTGCAAACACACTTCGCTACCGGCCGAAACGATGGGGAGTCTGTTGTCCATGTGGTAACTGATCAGGTGACTCACACTTTCAAAACGATGGTCTTTAGTGCGGACCTAGAAGGCAAAATTCAAAAAACAGATTAAAGTTGAAATAGAATCACACTAATACCACCATGTCTTTAATCCCCTAGACCCTCCCAACTTACCACTCCCTCTGGGTCGACTAGCAGCAGGTGTTTGGCCTGACCCCCCTGCTGTCCTGTGAGGACATACTGTCCCGGCGTGGTCCCAGACTCCCTCACCAGGAAGTCTCCATCGCGGGTCAGCAGTCTCTCTGCTTCCCTGCGACTTAAGCTGCCATGAAACCAGGTCTCACACTGCAGCTGCTGCACCAGAGGGGGCGCTGCTGTCACTGAACTTTGGCCACCATGCCCAGAGACCCCCAGAGCATCATCAAATGGCTCTGGAGAAATAAAAATAAAAAATCATTTGAATAAAATGTGTTTTTCTAATAAAAAAGAAATAAATATATATATATATATATATATATATATATTTTTTTTACTATTGTCTGAATTTCTAAGTCGAATAAACAGTAGGCCCTTGTCCAAGTATTCTGGCAGCTGTGTGTTATTCTCGGATAGTGGACTGTGTCTTTAATGTGAAAGGCTTTAAGCAGACAACCAATCATGTTACATAAAATGCCCCTGTAATGGACAAAAGCACTCTAATTCTCTTATCTTCCTCTGAGGCTGCCTTCTGTGGGAAGCTCCACTCTTCAATTAGTCCGTCATATGGAATGTACAATACACACCACTCTGCTCGTCTCCTTAGTAACTAATTAAACCCCATTCTCGCCACATATTAAAACAAAAGCACATTTGAGCTACCGGTAATTTTGATTACAGTGACTTAGAAGAAATCACGTTATCTTATTTTTTTCTGTTTTTATTTCCCAACAAGCAGGTCAGATATCCACTTCGGTGCAGTAATATCTTTTCATTCCTTTTTTTTTAGCAAGCCCTTGTGTAACATTCCCAACAGGCACTTACTCATGTCAAAAGCATCTCTGTGAGCATTTCCATTAGCTGCAACTGGGGGGCGGGGTTTATCCACATTGACGTATGAAGGGTCATCAAACAGTTCCCGTCCTCCTTCTTTGGCACCCACTATTACAAAAAAGACATCAGTGACCTTGGCACATATTTCGATTTCCTCGTCCGCCATTAACATAATAGCAATTAATCAGCAAAGACAAGATAAAATGAAACATTGAGGACAAAAAAAAGCTAAAAAAAAAAAAGTGTGGTTTATAGAGAATGAAAGAGATACTGACAGACCGGCAGAGGAATAGCTTACCTGGTAGAGGAGGCAGAGGCTGCTTGTGAATGTCATTCTGACCTGGCTGTCCATAAGGCTGCAAACAAAAACATAAACACATAATGAGTCCTGCCACACAGGGACATACTGTTGTATACATAGTGACAGCAATCCCATTTGAAAGACAAACAAATGTAAATTATAGTTTGTCCTCTACAAACCAAGTCATCCAAGCAAGAGTTACTGTTACATTTAAATTTTCTCATCTTCGATTGAGACAGTTCTGGTTTGTATACTGTGTAGTTTTTAGATTCCTTTCAAGTGTATCATCTGTCAAATTCAGTAAAAGCCGTGTTAGGATGTGTTCTAGCATGTGTGAGTATCTCATCCTCCTGTGTTTGTGTTCACTGTTCTCACCAGCGTTGCACCTGGGCGGGACCTCATGTCGATCAGGCCACCAGGGGGAGGCTGTTTTCCAGGGAAATTATTGTAGTAAGGGACGTCAGGAGGTGGAGCGGCCTCATCATCTTCTTCCTCCCATGCAGAGCCGTCGAACGGAGCCATTCTGAGAGGAGAGAAAAATAAGAGACACTTGAATGATGAACACAAGGAGACGCTCATATTTGAGGCTCACGTATGGCACATTTATCACATGTACCTGTCATGTGGTGTGACCAGTTTGGGAGGGTTCTTTAGGTACTGTTTAAAGCGTAGTTCAAAAGCCTGGCCGATGGTGCTGATGACTTCTTGAGCTAATCCCTCTGAACACTCCAGTATGTGACATGCTGCAGAGAAAGAAGGCACAAATGTTTCATCAGGAGGCTGCAGCAACATAAATATCTTGAAGCTGAAGAAATAAATCAACTTGCAGGCAAAGTTTTTCATTTAAGCGACATTTCATTCATGCACAAGAGACTTCCCCCAAGGACCAAAAGACAAGGAAAAGACAAAGACAGAGTGCATGTCCTTCCCTGCAACCTCTCTAGTTTAAAATCCGATTACCAAGAAAACAGAGTACAAGTTCGCACACTTAAATTTTTAAGATGTACTGTAATTACATACATTTTAGATGATCTAGGGTCTTGTAAGCAAACAATACTATATATATTTTCTTCACTCGACATCATTACATGGAAAATCAAGCCACATATTGACATATTTTAAATATGAATAAATCAGATTCTGCTCTAAATTAAAAACAGTCCTGTTACTAGCTAAGCCAATTTAGAGATTGTACCGTTTCTTCCTTCACTCTGCACACTGAAACTCTAGTGGGCGGTGTGTCGAATTCAAAAGAGGCATTTCATTTATTATAGGATTAGTTTATATTTCAATTGAATGGCTTGAAAGTATATATCTGCTGAAGGTTCCATCTGAAAACCTGTTTAATCATTCGATAGGATTAAATCTGTTAAATGTCTATACTGGCGGATGCTGACTGAGTCAAGATGTCATGCAGCTGTTTCTGCTCACCTCTCTGGTTGACTGGGTCTTTGGCCACATATGCTACATACTCGGCTGTATCCTAGGGGGAGAAAGGGGATGAGCATTATGGGAGAAGGGGTAGGAAAAATTGGAGGCAGGAGAAAGTGAAGGGCAGGTTAAGGATAGAAAGGTTTTGAAAGGGGAAGAAGAAAGAGATAAGGCAGAAGCTTCAGTCATGACAGGTGTTATTAACATACATTCAACTCAAAGAGAAATGACAGGAAGTAGTGAGATCAAGCTTGTGAGAGAAGGACCGCAAACCAGCCACGGAGTGAGTGGTACTGATAGGAATAAACGATGACAGAAGACAGGAAGGAAGGATGTGCAGGCTAAAGAAAGATGGAACATGTCCAGAGTGAGATTTGAGCTGTGAGAGAGAGAGAGAGAGAGAGAGAGAGAGTGTTGGGTGACTCACTGGGTCTCCTCCAGAAGCGAAGGAGATGGACTGCATGTGATGGTTGGCGATAATCTGTGGAGTAAAAGAAAGAGAGGAAGAGAGAGGGAGAGACAGAAGAAGAGCACGTGGTTGACATGAAGTATGTGGGAAGTGAGATGAAAGCATGTGGATGGAGACACAAAAGTAGAATCATTACTGAGAGAAAAGTGCTTTTTTTCATCCATTGAGCGCCATCAGCTGTAGCAGAGATAAAAACTAAGTAGGGACAATGGACAGAACACAGTCTGCAACAACCGCCCATGTCGGGATCAATAACAACTTCAACACTTGCTAATGCTGTACTCACAATCTTTGGTCTATATCTTATGCCTTATTTGTGAATGGATATAGTAGAAGGGCATGTTTTGTTTTGTTGCTGTTGGTGTACCATCTCCCTTAAGAAATTAATACTGTTCAGCAGCTATTAACTCATTAGAGGTCTTGGAGTAAGATCACTTCCTGTCTTCTTGCGATGCAGAAATACAGAGGATGGTGGGAGGATGCATTTATGCAGCACTCAGAACAAGAGAGGCACACAAAGTGGGGAAGCTTTGAATGGATCTGGGAATCCCCTGAATTCCCCAAAAGGTCACAACACACAAAATAAACATTTGACTTGTTGAGATACCTCCTTGTAGCAGAAATTCCATATAAAAAATGGTATACATTATCATAATAATGAAAGCTTCTGTGAGGAACTTTAGGTTTATTCAACTTCTTCATGAATGGGACACCTCTTCTCTTTGTTGATCTTGTCCTGTAAATGTCAACTTTGTGTTTTCTTTCAGACATTAAATCAAAAGTTAGAATTCTAGGATTTTCTAACTTGTAACCCACAGCGAACATTTGGCATGGGGAATTTAAATAGATGCTGCGAGTTCAGAAAAAAGGCTGTTAATCACCTCTTCTGATACCTTTTGAATCCTGCAGCAGGAGTGACCAACATGAAAAATAACTACATTGAAGTAATTCATCTTGTTGCTGATGGTTGCGTTTGCATTTTGTAAGTCATCATTAGGTTTGATTCATGAGCAGCTAAAAACTCCTCACTGGAGTTTTAATTGGTAAGTGAAAGCAGTGGGAATAAATTGTATGATGCATCTTTAATCATGTGGGCAGATAATTGGGGGCAGTAGTTGTGCAATTATCAACAATAACAATGCCGTTAAAAATTAAAACTACATTTTGGCAGACAATTTTTTTTACTATATAAATGGGAATGCTAAAAAAAATTTAAATACCAGATAGTTGAATTTTACAACTTTTAATCAACATGTTATCCCTTAAGCAGGGAGATCCTCAGGTTACCTCTGCGTCAGTGACATGCACAGTCTAAGTGCACTCTGGATATAAAACATACCTTTGGCTACACCTGAGCTCTTACACTCAGATGCATCTTGGAGTCTACGTCAAACATTCTGCTGTCAGGGTGAATATACCAGACAGAAAGTAACGTTTTGAGCAAAAATACGGACACCAGCAGCTTCAAGAGTGAGCTGGTTTCAGTCTTACCTGTTTGCAGTCTGAGGCCAGCAGGTTGAGGCTGCTGGTGGAGATGGTTAGGCTGATTGTCATGCCAGCAAACTGCAGGTTGCTTTTCCCCAGGATGGATGTCATGCAGCGAGAGGAAGGCTGTAAAAGGAGAGGGATGTGGTCAGTGAGTAATAAACAAACAAGGTGCATACACAAAACAATGTAAGAATCTTTTTTTTTTTTTTTTTTTTTAACAAAGCCTGACGGTCCTCGGAGAGCTCCCTGGCTGTGATTGAGCCAGTGGGCGTATGTGTGGAAATGCCTGTGTGTGTGGGAGTGGAAGAACAGCTGCAATTGTGAAAGTGATCCTGTCTCCAAGGCCAACTGTGACCAATGGGGAGTAGACAGGACAGTGTGCATGCTGTAGGTTGGGCCAAGAGCATCATGCAGACTGCGCCAGCACCATTGTGCCAGCCTCGTTTATCCAAAACCTCCTGCTGCTCTCATGGCTTTCATCCATATCTGCTCTAGAATATTTGGCGCATGCTGTGAGAAAACAGCATCAGGATGGGACGAACACGCTCAGCTACATTAACCCCAGTCCAGTCAAATCAGAAGGACTAGACGACTTGAATCTATTCTTGTTTAAGTACTATAACTGTGTTGCTGACTGTGCTGCAATGCCAGACATTCCTTGGTCAAGAAAATCTGCTGTAGCAACAGGCTGCTGGATTTTGCCACCTGTTTTATGGACTGTTTGGGTGGATGTTTTTAGTTTTACAGCAGTACTGTGGACAGACACATATAGTCTTTAAACAGCAGACTGTCTGATAATCTGTAGTGCCTCTTTGGCCTTTCACTGGGTCAACACAAGCTACTACTCCAGCTTCCCCTGTGACAGGCTATAGGGAAAACAGAGACCAGAGAGTGATTGGTTAATTACCTGTAAGTAGTCCGCTAACCACAGAAGTGTACGTTTAGCCTAAATCAAAGTCTGTGTGTGTGCGTGTGCGTGTGCGTGTGTAAGGGAGAGTGTGTGACAGAATAGCCGACTGACCACATAGTGGACAATCAGGCTAAATCCAGCTCATTGCAGAAAACCCTTCCCATTGCTGCCCACTTAGGCCGTATAAATAAATAATGTCCTTTAAGGGTGTGTGCAAGCAGTGTAGTCTGTACCTTTCTCCTGCGCTGGGCTCCTTTGGCTCCAGGCACTGCCTCACACACCACCGAGATGGCCTCCCTGAAACATTAACAACATACAAGAGTTGCAATAGCATGTCGTTAACCCTCACACCGTCCCAAAGTCACAATTACATATATTAAATGAGATCTGGCATGGAGGGGGGGGGAGGTAATTTATCGTCCCTGGCAACTGTACTTTTCTTTGCCAAGGAGACAAACATCTCTACGGAAACCAGAAGGAAACCACCAGGATTCCAGAACATTCTAATTTAAGGTCTGGGAGAGCTGGAGGCGTGTATACACAAAGACACACATACATGCACATATAAGCTTAGTCAGAAACTAGCAAGCAAAAATATCAGAGTGGAAGCAGAACAGAAAGTATGAGTGGTTTATGCTGGTTTAAGTCTAACCACAGTTGTGTTTTCATTCTTGCGTGCAAATACGACACATGGAATCACAGTATGGGCAAGTCAGCTGCAGATGGCTAGTGTGTCGTCTCACCTGGTGACCTGAGTTCTGGTGTTGAAGTCCAGCGCTCGCATTGACTGAAGCACCTCCACGCAACCCATGTACTGGCCAGGAAACAGGAAGTCAACACATAAGCATCAGACATTTCCTACATAATGGTCCCATTGGTCAGATAGGACATAACAGAGGAAGAAAGCAAAAGTGCCCCTTCCTAATATCTGTCAGTTTCTAAAATAAAAAAAAAGCTTGTCAATGCAAAGAAACTGACAGGAAAGTGAAATATATGTGAAATTGTATATTTTGATTGGGAGTTAATGAGAATGTGCCCTTCACTTACCCGTACAGTGTAGGAAACACCAGTGGTGCTGACAACGCTGTCGGAGTGCAGCCAGCCGCGGGTGGGCTTGTTGACAAAGGAGCCATGGCGTGTCCACTCGTCTCCTCCCAGCTGCCCTCCTTCCACCCGTGCCCTCCTGGACGCCCCTCCCAGCCGGTTCATGTCCTGCAGGGGAGGTCGAGGAGGAGGAGAAGGAACGGTTAGATTGGAAAGTGGGTGATGGAGCGTTGGGGAGGAGCTAGAGCTCCTGTCGTCCCCAGAAGACTCAACGGGCGCCCGATGATGCGGTGGTCTGCTTGAGGCCTTGAGCCCTGGGAGAAGAGTGGCAGAGACGCCCAGACGAAGGGATCCCATCCTGGGGAAGAAGGAGCAGAGGGTGGTGGGGCTGTTCTCAGCGGGGCGGGGAGAAGAGGGGGGCAAGATAGGAGTGAGAGAGGAGGAGGAGAGAGAGGAAGGCAAACCAGGGGACGGAGTGAGGGGGGTGGCAGGACTGGAAGGAGGGAATGATGAAGGATTAGAGTTTGTTTCATCAGTCGAGCTCAGTGATTCACTCCGAAAGTGGGTGTACTTGGTTTTTGGGACAAGCTCCATAATGAATCTGCAGTGTCAAGTTTTTTTTTTTTTTATCTGCACAAGTCCACACAGGCTCTAGTGATTCAATCAAAGTTCTTTGTCTCAGTAGAGTTTTTCTCTAAAAGGACACAAAGCCATCTGTCTGTCTCTCTCAGCAGAAGAGCTGCATCCATCTGTCTTGTTGTCTGTCGTCCACTCATTACCAGGCGGCCGAATCCAAAGTGCTTCATGAACTTTGCCCACAGTAAAAGCAGGATGAGAGACGGTGCAGGGGAAAAATGGGGTGTCCCAGTTAATGGTTGAATGCAGATGAAAAAAGTGTGTTTTTAGTGCACCAATGCAGATCATGTTGTCATCAGTTCTTTTTTTTTTTAAATCTGCTTCAATGTTTATTGTGTTCCAAGGGACTGATGATGGTATCAGCTCTCCAAAAAAGGCTTCATCTTGGTCTTTTTTCCATAATGTACAACAATATCTCAGAGTATCTTGTCCAATCTTAACGTCCTCTCAGTGGGGGCTAGTTATCCAGCTGTCGCCAACACCATGGAGAATCAACACAAGTGATTGTCTCTCAACACCCCCTTGCATGTACGTCTTACTGCACTCGTGTGTGATGTTTAAATGCGTGAGGCGGTATAAACCTTCCCTACCCACAAGGCTTCTTAGTGTTTTCTTTGTGTGTGTGTTGGTGTGTGCACATGCGTGCAGCTCTATCCTTCTTGACACAAGCCCATAAAAATCCTATTAGCAGCCAATGAGGGGGTGCACACTAACGCGCCACCAACACACATACAATACACAGCTCCAGTTGGTCAATACTACAGTGAGTACCTACAAAACTCACTGAAGCCCACAACTGCTAAAGAAGAGAGAGGAAGCTTACTGATGTATGGCTAAAATCCAACGCAGAACGCTTTCTTTAACGCCAACTTTTTAAGAGCATTGTATTCTCAAATCTCCCATCGAATTTCTCTGTCATTCTCTCTCTCTCTTCCTCCAAACGGTTTCATGTCCTCTCTGAATGGCCCTCGCTCTCGCCTCGCCTCCTTCCTCTTCTTCTCTCCTCTTCCAGATTACTTCTGGCACAGGCTGGTTCCCTTTCTCTACAGTTCGTCCTCCCTTCTCCCTGTCTCCTTGCTTCTCCTGGAAGCCCTCTCTCTTCCTCCACACTATGTAGTCGGCCAACCTCTGTCTCTCCAATGCCTCCGCCCTCTCCCGCGCCACCACTTCCTCTCTCCTCTTCCAGATGATCTCTCTCTCCCCCTCGCCCCCTCCCTCGAGTGCTCGCCCGTTCTCCAGGCTGTCCTGTTTAACAGTCCCCAATATATAAATGGTAAGCCCCGTCTGTGTACCTCTCCAACTTTAAAGGTAAGGGATGGCTAGAGGCCAGGCATGGTCACCTATTTAGACACCAATAGAAATCGAAAAAAAAAATAAAAGTAAGTACTTAAGACTGGGCCAGCAGAGTTGGGCCCGTTCCTGACTGAAGTTCCTGATATGGCTAAAACAAGTGAGGTGGCCCTGGTTGAAGTGTGTTCACTACAATTTAAACCACCTCAGATTTTCTTTTTACTGGAGCACCATTGGAAAGTGGTAGGTTGAATCTGAGATGTTGTCTGTGTCTGATACAGCTATGTACGCTGCAGTAGCACGGTGGTGATGTAACTCTGGAGAATGTAGGTCATTGGCTGATGACGACTACCAGTAGGTTTGTTGTGATGGTAATGAGACCTGATTGGTCCTGTTTGAACTCCAAACCCAGGGTTCCCTGAACGGTGCTGAAGGCTCATCAGAGTTGAACGTGAACTCGCTCACCCAGCTGGATATGCTCAAATAAAAGCGCACTCTGCTGTTATGCTGGTAACTCTATGTCTCTTTCGCTAACCCTGTTTCTTTACTACTGCTTGGCTTAATAACAAACCCAGATTACAGTCAGTTACCTGAGAGAACAGTGTTGACACAGTCCCATATGATATGAACAAGCCAAGTGTTGGAACCATTTCCTTCCTTATCTAAGGCAGGGCTTATCAAGCAGCAGGTTTGCTCTCCGTTTTACAACAAGCTACCATACAGAGACTACATACAACTCATTTTCTGCATAGTCCAACCTAGAAGGCAAACAACAGTCGGCTGACATTAACAGTCTCTGGCAGAGTCCTATGAACAAAACCGTCTGCAGCAGTGTGACCTCAGTAAGAGGCAAAACTACACCTGCAGTGCTGCACTAAACTAGCTTCAAACTCAGTGTTGTGAGGCACTCGTCATATTTACAACCTGCTGACCTTTAGTCACTCATAGGAGAGCGAAGTTTGCACACGCCTTGCCTAGACCACTTACACAAGGTTGTAAATTTGGCACCAAAGTTTCAGTGATGCTAAATGAAAGGGTTGATTTTCTACACACTAACATTCAAAACCTAACAGTGTCTGAAGTACAGCAGGACCAGCTTGTAGTGGGCGCTGCATGCATGGCAAAGGAACAGTCGCCTACACCTGTCTAGCACCACAGAGGGATTGTCTAGCAATTTTAGCTAGTTGTCCATCTGGTCTTGGCCAAAAAGCACCATGGAGGAACCAGTCACACTCGCCCACGGCCAGAGTGGCTGGGCTGATCTCCAAAAAAGCTGTAAAGAACTATGGCTGAAAAAGTCACTAAAGACACCCAGTATTCTGACCATCGAAGAGCATGCAGAACAAACAGAACAGTCTGTTAATCCCCTACTAAGTTCTTAGATTTCAGAGTAAATGACCTCTTTAAAAGGCAAAGAAATCCAAACTACATGGACTTGTTAATAGTAAAGATAAAAAATCCAGGTTGTGTTCTCATACACAGGGGGGCTAAAAGGCTCTATGAGATGATGGAATGCTGCATGAGTCTGTGAAAGTGCACAGAACCCAGTGCAGGTTAGGTGACTGCAGAGGAGATGAACCCTCTACAGAAGGAGAAATCCTGAGTCACCTACACAGAGACAGCTAAAAGAAGAGACTGTCTCAAACAAAGAACACTTAATGATCAGTAATTAGGGGCCTGGATGCCAAGCAGCTGCACAGAGTGATATGTACAAGTGAAATTAGAACGATAATCTCATTTATCCAGTCATTCCTGGTAATGGCACATCAGCCTGTCTGATGAAGATGGTCGTTGATAAAAGGTGAGTTCAGGACAAACAGGGCTGAGCCAACACTACAAGACTCACACACAGAATGGGGAGGGGGAGACAGGTGACCTGAAACAACCCTGATTCTCGGGGACTGCCGAGCTGCGCTTAGACAGAGACTGTCTGGTAAAGAAAAAAAACCCTGTCTGTGAGAGAAACTCCAAAAAACTGCACACAAAAATGTAACAATAAAATCCACTGCCTCTTATCAACTAAATCTATACAATTATCTAATGTAACAGCACCAGTTTAAATAGATAAGACAAGAGAAAATAACTTTACATCTCGCTTTGTCTGCTGCCGCCCGTTTCTATGGCAACAGACATTAAAAGAGATGCCTGCACAGGATATACACAGAGAAGTCCCGACAACCGCAGGAATTTTTCAGACAAAGCGATAACTGCTCTGTCAAATCAATCAGCAGCAATTATTTGCTGCATCAAAGGACTAAGGACTCCACGTTGGAGCTTCTTGTGATCCAACAGGAGAAAAGACAACAGACTTCTACATCGATCAATAGGTTACAGGAAATGATCAAAGTTTGAGCGCCGTCTTGCCAGCCATAAAAACCCAATCAATGTTGACATCCCATGTCGGCTGCATGCACTCACTCCTAGGTCACTTAAAACTGTAAGTCTGGTATTTTTTAGAAGAACAAATCACTTTCAAAGTAAAAGTATAAACAACACTAAACATTTAGTCATAAAAGACAACACTGATGTTTAGAAAACTTGCATAAAAACAACCTGAATATTCTGTGCAGCAGCTAACAAAGATAATAATTGTATAACATCCTGCTGAGAATATCTTTTGCTCTTTAACAATAGAAAATCCAAAGTCACAAAGAGTCTATATTTACAAAAACAGAAAAAAGTAATTCAAACTGTTCAGTAGAAAGTGAACCTAATCAATTTCCCTAAGAGTCCTTTTTTTTTTTTTAAAGTGAATGTTGAATCATGAATAGTTCCTTTTTTGGTTTAAAAAGCATACAGTTGATAATCCATGGTGATTTAGCTAAAGCTGAGCTCCATATTCACATGAGCAGCACATTAATTTTTAAACAGTCAAAGACTGTCCGGTCATCCGTCCTCTCCTTCCTCTTTCTGGCTCTCCGTCCACTCCCTGAAAAAACGTGCTTCTCCTCTGATCCGCTCGATTAATTCACAAAGTCACTGCCGGCAGTTCCTCTCCATCTATTCTCTCCTCAGTTTGGCTGCCTCCTCTTCTTTTCTCTTCTCTCTCCTCTGCCTCTCTCTCTCTCTCTCAGCAGATGGTGAAATGGCAGTGCTGCCAGTGTCCACAATTGCACTCCTTCATTGTGCTCCTCTTCTCTCCCTCACGTCTGTCTCTTATTCCCACTTTCCTTCCACCTCTGTCTGTTGGAGGGACGATCACGCTGTCTGTCCTCCCCCCTCCTCCTCCCAGTCTGGGTGGTGATGCTGCCTCCCATTTTCTCTCTTACCGTCTCTCACTCTCTCACTCTCTCTCTCTCTCTCTCTCTTTCAAACACACACTCAAGGCTGCTGCCTCTGCCCTCCCCACCGCTTATCCTCCCCTCCTTCCTGTTTCCTCCGCTTTCCCCCACCTCTTCTCTGCAGCCTCAGTCATTTAGCAAGCGCACATGTGCATGCACAGTAAGATGCTGTGCTCCTGCACATTAACGCACACACTCAAGGGGGAAAATGGAGATATTGAAACGAGAAAGAAAGCAAGGGAGAAGGGGGGGGGGGTATGTCTTTGTGTGTGCATGTGTGAGGAGGGGGGTTGTTTATGTTGACTATTGCTCCTCCCTTATTCATGTTGGGTAACCTGAGAAACAGGGTAAAAGAGAGAAAGAGAGAGGGAGGATGGAGACAGACAGAGAGGAGTGCTGCACAGTGTGTGGCATGAGGTCACTCTGTGTAACCTTGATAAAAGTGGACACATTCAAAAAAAGAGACACGGAATGGCATTGAAAAAATAAATATTCCCCCTATTTCGACATGAGCAGAGCTCTCTAAGGGAAAGGACAGGTTAGCACAATGTCAAAAAATAACAACAGTCAATCTGTAGCGGCAAACAGTCAGCAGATATCTGATGAGAAGGCAGTGTCACGGAAAAGGGAAGAAAGCACCCATAGAGTGACACATGAACCCAGCCGAGCGGACAGCAAGGAGTCCTCAAATGACACCCCAACATTCAGTCCCTGCAGTACTGCATATGACCACTGCACTGTGTTCATGTAAGGTAGCAGTGCATTTAGGGACAAGAGGGAACCAAATCAGACAACTGCAGAGAGCCAGACGGTCATTCAAGGTAAAATCCACCACCATACATTTCATTTATAGAATGATTGAATGTGATTGGTTTCAGAGTGATTGATGAAGAAGACAACCCCCTCCACCAGAAGCCTGCACCATGAGTGTAACTAGTAAAACACATGACAAAAGTGGCTTAGGGGAGACAGAAATATAATACGGTTTTCTTCAAGGACTTTGTACATTTGTTCAAATGAATATTTTTGTTTTATTTATTGTCGTTGTTTTATTTATGTTTTATCCCAAATAAAAATAAAAATAATTGGAATGTATTAGTAGGCTATTAAACTAAAACTAATGTAATATGTGATGCTGCAATCCTGCAAATAAGTCGACCTTTATGAAAATGATTATTTTCAGTGTTTGAATCTTACAAACAAAATGAAAAATATAACCTCCATGTGGAAATATGAGGGCGGTTTAAAAAGTAATTCAGGTACTGAACTAACAACTAGTGCAGTTGATAGTAAATCAACACACATCCTAATAAATGGACATGTAAACACAGGGAAGCAAAACGATTCATGCATTTTTTTTCCCTTGTTGGCCTTAGTTTTCAGTTTTAGAGAAGTGTATTGGCAAGCAAGCAAAACTGAAATTAACTGCTGCAGGGGAATCTTCTCAAGCATACAAGAAGCCAAATGTTTCATAGAAATGGTGGATGCTCTAAAATGCTTTGTAGATGTTATATGTATCACTGTAGGAGCCTAAATACACTGCATGATGTTGATCCAATAAGCGTGCAATCACTTCAGT